CAAATGTGGAAAATAGAACTTATCTCAAAATTTGCTGTAAAGCTTAAATAAAATATCTGCTTCATAGTGTCACATAAACATTGATGAAATATAAGCTAATAAAAAATTACTTTAATTGACAAGAAAACTAAAACTAACTCAATTATTTTGAAATAACAATATAAAACTTGAATGAAGATTGTTTATGAACTTTAATTTAAAAAATTTAAAGTTTGTTAAACTTTACTAAACTTTATTAAACTTGTTCTAAACTGAAATCCTATGATTTTGAAATAAATCCTTTTCTTTCCTTCCTCTGTTCTTTTATATGACTAGTTACTGCCTTGTAAATACAGATAATGCAGCCTAGTCATCTGCTATTACCTTCACTAACTGCATATTCCAAACCCTAAAAAATAAATGTCTCCAAATTTAGCCTCAGATTTTCCGCAAATAAAATATTGCCCTCCAAAAAAGACATTGATAAATGTAAAAATACTCTGTAGATTAAAATAACAGATTTATTAAGCAATGACGTAAATTACATCCTTTTTCTTTTTTTAAAAAAGACCTGTGATAAAGTTGTATTTTCAACTTTGCAAAGTCACCTAAGCAATGGATCACATCTGTTACATAGTTAAACTAAACAAGCTATTTTTAAAAATAAGTAAACATTCATTATTTAGCCTTTACTAAGTAAATCAAACTTAGCTCTGCATAATAATATATCTGACAGAACCACTAGAAAGTGCCATGAGTCCTCAGGCCACTGCACAGTTGTTTGGGCAGGGAAGGGCAAGGAAAAGAGAAGACATCAAATGCTTTAGAAGCACTAGGCCCATACAATGGATATTTTCTGGCAATTAAAAAGAAATTAAGTACTGGTAATGCTACAACATAAAGGAAAACATTACACTAAGAGTAAGCAGCCAGTTGCAAAATATCACATATAATTGTTTTTTTGTTTGTTTGTTTTGAGACGGAGTTTCACTCTTGTTGCCCAGGCTTGAGTGCAATGGTAGGATCTCGGCTCACTGCAATCTCTACCTCCCAGGTTCAAGCGATTCTCCTGCTTCAGCCTCCCGAGTAGCTGGATTACAGGCATGTGCCACCACACCTGGCTAATTTTGTATTTTCAGTAGAGATGGGGTTTCTCCATGTTGGTCAGGCTGGATTCGAACTCCCAACCTCAGGTGATCTGCCCGCCTTAGCCTCCCAAAGTGCTGGGATTACAGGCATGAGCAACTGCGCCTGGCCTAAATATCACATATTATAATACATGATTCCATTTGTACGAAATATCCAGAAGAGGCAAATCGATAGAGACAGAAAGTAGATTTGTGGCTGCAAGAGGTTGGGGCAAGGGAGATGAACAGTGATTGCTAAAATACATGGAGTTTCTGTTTGGACTGATGGAATATTCTAGAATTAGAAATTAGTAGTAATGATGTTTGTATAACATAGTGAATATACTAAAAGTCACTGAATTGTACACTTTAAAATAGTGACTGATGCTATGCGAATTATATCTCAAAAAATATTTTAAAGCACCAGGTGCACTGTTTTAGTCTATTTTCTATTGCTTATAACAGAAAATCTGAATCTGGGTAGTTTATAAAGAAAAGCAATTTATTTTCTACAGTTACGAAGGTTGGGAAGTTCAAGGTCAAGGGGCCACATCTGGTGAGGGCCTTCCTGCTGATGGGGACTCTCTTCAGAGTCCTGTGACAGCACAGAACATTACATGGTGACGGGGTTCAGTGTGCTAGCACAGGTCTGTCTTCTTCCTCTTATAAAGCCACAAGTCCCATTCTTGTGCTAACCCAATAATCCATTCATCCATTAACCCATGGATGGATTGATTTCAGAGCCCTCACCACCCAATCACCTCTTAAGGCCCCACCTTTCAATACTGCCATATTGGGGATTCAGTTTCAACATGAGTTTCCGGAGAGACAAACATTCAAACCATAGCACACAGCCGCTAGGATGATTAGAATCCAAAAGCCAGATAATAACACGTGTTGACGGGGATGTGGAGAAATAGAATGCTCATGCCCTGATGGTGAGAATGCAAAGTGGCAAAAAAACAGTCTGGCAGTTCCTCAAATAGTTAAACATAGAGACACAGAGTTACCATTTGACCCAGAACTTCCACTCCTAGATGTTTACCCAAGAGACATGAAAACATACATGCACACAGAAACATGTACATAAACATGTATAGCAGCTTTATTTATAATAACCAAAAGCTGAAAATGGCCCAAATGTCCCTCATCTGATGAACTGATAAATAAAATGTTTATCCAATGGACTATTAATCAGCTATGAAAAGAAATGGAGTACCTGCCACAACACAGATGAACCTTGAAAACATTTTGCCAAGTTAAAGAAACCAGTCACAAAGGATCACATACTATTATGAGTCCATTCATATGAAATGTTCTAAATAGACAAAACTATAGAGACACAGAACAAATTAGTAGTTGCCTAGGCATGGGGAATAGGGAATTGGGAGGTGGTGGTTAAAGGTTACAGAGTTTCTTTAAGGGTGGGAAGTGATGAAAATGTTCTCACCTTGTGATAATGGTTGCCCAGTTCTAAAGATCCTAAAAACTGTTGACTAGTTCACTCTAAATGGGTGAACTATACTGTATATGAATTATATCTCAATAAATCTCTTAGAAAAAATAAAGAATACATCTAACAAAAAAAAATTTAAGGGACATGTATTCCTTTTCCAATTGTTATAATAAAACCAGGTGGAAGAGAATGGTTTTAGCAGTTAGAAAAAAAAAAAATACAAATCTGGGCTTTGGCCATGAAAAGTTATTTATAAAAATTAGAGAAGAAAAGGCAAGAAGTTGTTATTTCACATTACAGACCTCTCCCTGGCCCCAAAGCCTAATACGTGCTTACCAAGTCAAAAAAAGAGACACAGCTGATTCACAAGCTGAAGGTTTGAACTTGAACAGAACCCTAGGCAGGGCAGTGTCCCCCGCTTTCCCCCGGCCCAGGTAACACGAGGCAGAGCACCAGAGAGTAAAAACTCAACACGGGGGAGGCTGGACCCTCAAGGTTTGGGAGTTGAAGCACTCAACTTCTGGCTCAGGGACTTGGGGAGTAGGGTAAACAAAATCTACTTGGAAAATAATTGGGGAAGAAAACCAAAAATTGCCTTCTGCAGGGCTGGGGACAGGGAAGGAGGCAGAGCCAGGGAAAGGAGGATTTCATATCACTAATCTAACTTGGGAGGCTGTAAGGGACCATCTTCAACTGGCCTTAAGAGGAAAGCCAGATGGCGGATTGGAGAATCCACAGGAGGGAGAGAAGGAAAGGGAATGTAGCTGGTAGGATGCAATAGCCCCTTCCTTTCTGGGCACAGGAGGGCAGCCAGGGCACCAGGTCCAGGCAGTGACCTCACAACAACAGCAGTTTTTGCAGCTTAGAGATCAACCACCTGGCCCACCCCGCTATTCATTCTGCTCAGCGTGGGCTGGTGTAGGGCCACTCTTCACCCCAAGGCAGCGGACAGCTCTGTAGCCTGGGGCCCTGCCTCTTCTTCTGAGGCAGCACTGCCTCTGCCCCCTTGGCCTGGGGCTCCCGGCTCTCAGGGGTAGCAATAGCCTTCCCTTCCTGGGCAGTGCCCTTGTCGCTGCAGGCACTGATCTCCCCCCAGTCCTGCTCTTCCTCCATAGGTGAGGAGGCAGAAGAAGCACCCCACCCTCCTTCCCATTTGTCTTGAAGGACAAGCTGCTCTTAGAAAGAGATTTTTTTTTTTTTTTTTTAAAAACAGGCTAGAGTGCAGTGGCGTGATCTCGGCTCACTGCAGCTTCGACCTCCCCAGGCTCAAGCGGATCCTCCCAGCTCAGCCTCGGGAGTAGCTGAGATCACAACCCCAGCACACCCAGCTTTTTTTTTTTTTTTTTCTTGGAAGGCAGCTATGCTCACCACTATACTATCAACGCTATTTTATTGTAGTATTGTAGAGATGGGTTTTCGACATGTTGCCCAGTCTGGTCTCGAACTCCTGGGCTCAAGCGATTCCCCCAGTCTTGGCCTCCCAAAATGCAGGGATTACAGGCATGAGCCACCATGCCTGGCCCTGAAAGACAATTTCGTCTTCTTGGGAGTCTCCTTCCGGGGGAGGGAGGCTCCCCTTTGGCCTCAGCACCCTGGCTAGGGGGTGCTGGCTCCATGTCATTGCCAGTGGCCCCGGCTGCCTCTTCTGTTCACAGGGGCCAACTCCCCTTCACCCTTGGGGGATGTCACCATTGCTTTTCACGTGGCCACCCTTCTGTCCGTTGGTTTTCGCGTGGTGAGCGCCTGCTGCTTCTGCGGCGGTCCCGTAGCCCCGGGGAGCCTCGGAGCTCTGGCTTCCCACGATGGGGGTCCTCTGGAGGACGCCGGAGCCGCGCCGGGTCTCCGCCGCAGGGGACAGTAACGCGGGATCGGCCTGGCGGGCGGAGCGCGGGTGTTGGGAAACAGAGCCGCACCTCGCTCGGCTCCGGAAAGCCCTAGTAACCAAAATTCTTGAAAAGCACTAGTGTCTGGCCTCCGCACTAACTCTCCCCGAGTCCCGTTAAGCCTGGGGGGATGACTCAGAGGGTTTGGGGTCCTGTCGGGGAAGTTCAGAAACCAGAACAGTTCCAGATTCTCCCCATGTGTCTGTGGTCCCACCACCTCCTCCGCAAGGGACGCTGAAAGCTGTCTGGTACCTAGGACACCTTCTTGGGATGAGTACGACCATTCGCCCTGGCTGAGCCCCAGGAGTGCGGGCACGGGCCGCGGGGGGCGGGTCGCCAGGCACCCCCTCCGGCCTTTCTCTGCTCGCGGCGGCGCTGGGACAACCTCTTGGCGGCTCAGTGCCCGCGGTTCCCAGCGCGGGCCGGGCCGCGGCAGAGGCGCCCAAACCGGTTGCACAGAAACAGCGCCACCCGCGACTGCCCGCAGGGCCATCTCTGCCTGCCTTTCTCTCAAAAACAAGGGCAGGGACGGGGGCGGGAGGTGCCCCAAAAGAAGGCGGGCCGAAGCGAGGTGCAGCTCCCTGTCCCCGCGGAGGAGCCAGGGCAGGGCGCGCAACTCCGGCCGCAGCTGTCCCGGGTCGTGAGCCGGCCCCGCCTTGGTGGCGGCGCCCCCTCGCGGTCCAGAGTTAGGCGCATCGGCGGGCTCGGGTCTCCCGCCCGGCGGGGAGGAGGAACAGGGTCTGCGGGGCGGGGACTCGGGGCCGCGGCGGGGCGCGCACACGTGGGTGGGACCGCCCGGGGTACGGGCCCTTGGAGCGGCTGGCCAGGCTCCCAGAGCGCCGGCGCCGCCCATGGCTGAACCGCTCCAGCCAGACCCCGGGGCGGCTGAGGACGCGGCGGCCCAAGCCGTAGAGACGCCGGGCTGGAAGGCCCCGGAGGACGCGGGCTCCCAGGTAGGCGCCGACCCAGGAGCGAAGGGGCTGGGCCAGCCTTCGGGCTGATTTGCCATGAGGCCAGCGGGTCCCATAGAGTTAAGTAAAAAGTACAATTCTTTAAATGGTCCGAGTCCCTACCCCGTATCCTACACAAACGAGAAACCCAGGTCATTTAGGTCTACCCTCCCCTCTACCCCAGCGCAGGTCCCATCTCAATTTCTTGTCTTTGCGGGGTGGTAGGGCGAGGAGGAACTGGTTACGTCCCAGAACGCGTGGTGGAACCCTCCGAAGCGAGGGGGTGTAATAGGTGCTTGTCTTTAAAGTGTGAATCGAGTCCCCAGCGTGTGGGGTTGGGGCCGCTGCGGTCCCTAATCGCAAGGAGGGGAACCTCGTGGAGGGGCACCTCCCAGACCTAAGGAGCGGGGACCTTGGGCTGGACCCCAGGGCGGTGCAGCCCCTAGACAGGCCGGCTGCAGGTCGACCCGAGATCATGGCACCGGTATTTTTGCATCTCACTCCTACCCTCTTAGAATTGCTTCTCGAAGTTTTCTCTGTTCCGCTTTAGCCCGGAAGTTATGAGATCCGACACTATGGACCAGCCAAGTGGGTCAGCACGTCCGTGGAGTCTATGGACTGGGATTCAGCCATCCAGACGGGCTTTACGAGACTGAACAGCTACATTCAAGGCAAAAACGAGAAAGGTAAAAGCAGTTTTCCTTGTAATTATGCATATTGTGAAAGAGTCCCTGGGTTTCTTATTGAGTTTTAGCTTGTCAAAGAAATATCCTTTATAATAGAAAAATAAGCAAGTCATCAAAGACTTGTCTTGTTTTCAGACAAGACTCCTCAGGACCAGAGTTCCACTGGGTATTACTTTTCAACCTCTGTTCTCTGATTTTGCTGGATGAACTGGGGTTTGGTGTAACGTGTGATAAGTCCTTTTCCATAGCTAACACTTCAAGATAATTTGCTGACTGGTAGGATCAGAGACATCGGGAGGCAAGAAGGTACCAAGATTAGAAGCATCAAGTCATAGCTTTTGGTCTGGCTTTGCCGCTATTTATATTTTAGCAGGTCTCTTAGCCTGTGGGACCTCATTTTCTGATTGTAAGAAAAAAGAGTTTACTGACCATGTAATCTCTAATTTCCCCTTTTATCTCTAAAATTAAGAATTTATTAACCCAGAATATCAGTATTACAGAAAGTGGTTTAATATGGGCAGTGAGCAGTTTAGTAATTTTGGCCTTACTGTTTTAAGATGAAAATTATCTTGAAGGTAAATATGTCAATAATGTGAAGTAAATCAAGAAACCCAGATCAAAACAGAATAGGTTAAATGTTTAAAGCTGTCAAAAATACACTAAATTTGCTTTCATTTTTATGTCACAGAGATGAAAATAAAGATGACAGCTCCAGTGACAAGCTACGTGGAGCCTGGTTCAGGTCCTTTTAGTGAGTCTACTATTACCATTTCCCTGTATATTCCCTCTGAACAGCAATTTGATCCGCCCAGGCCTTTAGAGTCAGATGTCTTCATTGAAGATAGAGCCGAAATGACTGTGTTTGTACGGTAAGTGGTAGATAATTTATAGCATTGCTGACTGCTAGTTTTACTTACAGTTTAGCTCCAATGCAATTTCAAAAGGCTTTTCACCCTTCCATAAAATTAGGTCTAATGCATTTTGTGATGTTTTCCTACTGGCTTTGTTGTATCTGTTACTGAGGCCTGTCACAAGATAATAATCACTTCATTTAATGAGTCTATTGCATGCCCTTCATATAAGACACAGTGCAAATTATATGCCCCCAAAACAAAAGACTGCAATATAGTTAGATCTGAACAAAAGTACCTTAAACAAAAGTCTTAGTTTGTTCAGGCTGCTGTAACAAAATACCATGGGCTGGGTAGTTTATGAAAAACAGAAATTTGTCTCTCACATTTCTGGAGACAAGGAAGTTCAAGTTTAAGGTGCTGGCAGTTTCAGTGACTGGTAAGGGCCTGTTTCCTGGTTCATAGATGGAACCTTCTCAGAAATGTCCTCAAGTGGTAGAAGAGGCAAGGTAGCTTTATTGGACATGTTTTACAAGGCTCTACCCTCATGACCTAATCACTTTCCAAAGGCCTCATCTCCTAATACTATCACATTAGTGATTAGGTTTTCAAAATATGAATTTTGAGGCCCAGCACTTTGGGAGGCTGAGGCAGGTGGATCACTTTAGCCTGGGAGTTAGAGACTAGCCTGGGCAACATAGCAAGTCCCCATCTCTACTAAAAATACAAAAATTAGCTGGGCGTGGTGATGGGCACCTGTAATCCCAGCTACTTGGGAGGCTGAGGCAGGAGAATTGCTTGAACCCGGGAGGCAGAGGTTGCAGTGAGCCGAGATTGCACCATTGCACTCCAGCCTGGGCGACAGGGCGAGACTCCATCTCAAAAAAAAAAAAAATGTATATATGAATTTTGGGGAGACACAAACATGGACTTCATAGCTTTCTGCCCTGACCCTGTAAAATTCATATCATCTCAGATGCAGAATATATTCATTCTATCCCAATAGCCCCAAAAGTCTTAATTCATTCCAGCATCAACTCAAAAGTCTAAATTCATCTAAAGATCATCAAAATCAAATCTGAGGCTCAAGGTACAGTTTATCCTGAGGCCGATTCCCCTCCATCTATGAACCTGTGAAATCAAACATGTTATATGCTTCCAAAAAAAAAAATGGTAGGACAGACATAGGATAAATACCACATTCCAAAAGGAAGAAATGGGAAAAAAGAAATGCGTAACAGGTTCCAAGTAAGTTCTAAATCTTCAGATTAATTTTCTGTGACTCAAAGCTTTTCCCTCTGGGCCCACTGGGATGAAGGTCCCACTTGCGAAGCTCTGCTGAACAGAGGTTGGGCCCCCAAGGCTTCAATTGGCCCTGCCCGTGGCTTTGGAGGCCCAAACCCACTGCAGCTCTCATAGTTGGAGGAACCCCAGGAGCAGTCCTACCAGGCTCAAATTACACACCAGTGGCCCTCCCAGTCTAGTGTGCCCTGCTCCCACGGCTCGGTTAGCCATTTTCCCTATTGGGGACTCACTGCAGTAGCTTTGCTCTCACTGTGGCCCTCTGCTTGGGTCACATATCCAAGGCCCTGGGCAGCTCCATCCTTCAAGGTGGAGGTAGCCACGCCCCCACAGCTCGTGTACTGGCAGAGGTGGCACCACATGGATGCTGCTGAGGTTAACTGCCTGCACCTTCCGGGGGAACAGCCATAGCAGCCCAGGCCACACCTCAGCCCACTGGAGCTGAACCTGGGGCATCCAAGGAGGACTGCACTGGAATGCAGGGAACAGAGTGGTGAGGCAGTGTTGGCAGTGAGTTCCAAGGCCCCCCAGGTGCCCAAAGACCCTCCTTTGAAATTGTTCTGCCCCCGCCAGGCACTGAAACTTGGCATGTGATGGGAGAGGCAGCTCGTAATTTCTGAAATGCCTTTGGCACCGTTCTTCCATTATTCTGGAGAACAGGTCCTGCTTTCTGTTTAGATGGCAGTTCCACATTCATCTCCTTATCAAAGGGTTGCTTGGCCTTACCCTTGTTCGCTCTGGAACAAGCTTTCTCATTTCTTTTTTTTTTTTTTTTTTTGAGACGGAGTCTCGCTCTGCCGCCCAGGCTGGAGTGCAGTGGCCGGATCTCAGCTCACTGCAAGTTCCGCCTCCCGGGTTCACGCCATTCTCCTGCCTCAGCCTCCCGAGTAGTTGGGACTACAGGCGCCTGCCACCGCGCCCGGCTAGTTTTTTGTATTTTTTAGTAGAGACGGGGTTTCACCGTGTTAGCCAGGATGGTCTCGATCTCCTGACCTCGTGATCCGCCCGTCTCGGCCTCCCAAAGTGCTGGGATTACAGGCTTGAGCCACCGCGCCCGGCCACTTTCTCATTTCTTTTAATATGGATAGGCTAAGAATTTTCCAAATGTTTAAGTTCTGCTTCCCTTTTGATTAAAAATTTACTCTTTAAATTCTCTCTTCTTGTATTTAACTATCAAGAGAAGCCAGGCCACATCTTCCATTCCCATTTTGCTTAGAAAATGTTCACCCAGGCCGGCAAGGCTTCAATTGGCCCTGCCCATGGCTTTGGAGGCCCAAACCCACTGCAGCTCTCATAGTCAGGCTGCTGTAACAAAATACCATGGGCTGGGTAGTTTATGAAAAACAGAAATTTGTCTCTCACATTTCTGGAGACAAGGAAGTTCAAGTTTAACTCGGGAGGCTGAGGCAGGAGAATGGCGCGAACCCGGGAGGCGGAGCTTGCAGTGAGCCGAGATGGTGCCACTGCACTCCAGCCTGGGCGATAGAGTGAAGACTCCGCCTCAAAAAAAAAAAAAAAAAAAGAAAATGTTCACCCAAATAATCCTGTTTCATAATTCACAAGTTGTACTGTCCACATTACACTGGGACACACACACAGTTTCTTTGCCATGTCATGACAAGGGTCACCTTTCCTCCAAGTTCCAATAAATGTTCCTCATTTCCATCCGAGACCTTATCGGAACGGCCTTTACCTCAAACCACCATGATCCAGTATGACTCCCACCCTCTCCTTAGACTGCCCTTGCCATCCTCAGCAGTGCCTCTGTATCTGTCACATGGTTACTGTCCTCTCCCATGTGACCCTTACAGCAGTCATGTGTGGACCAATCTGGTCCGTTAATACTTGCTTATCCTTTAACTTTCAGAGTGTCACTCTCTTGTCATTTCTGCTCTCCCATTTCTTTACCTCTGTTGGCCCCTCCTCAGCTCCCCACCCTAGGATCGCTGTTGACGCCTGTTTTAGACCCTCATTTCAGAGCTGACTTATTCTGGGCAATCCATTCATATTGTTTCAACTCCCTGAGTCAAATGATTCTCAAATCTATTAAGTGTCTCCAGATCTGATTTCCCTACTTGTTGGACATCTCTCTTTGGGGTTGGGGGAATCAAACTCAACAACCCTAAAAATGAACCTTCCCCCAATTCCCAAATCTTCTCTGATCTTATAGTGCCTGTCTCAGTCGAGGGCCTCATCAGCCAGAGAGGCTCCTTTTTTTTTTTTTCTTTCGGAGACAGGGCCTTGCTCTGTTGTCCAGGCTGGAGTATAGTGGCATAATGATATCTCACTGTAGCCGAGAACATCTGGGCTCAAGGGATCCTCCCACTTCAGCCTCCTGAGTGGCGTGTGCCACCACCATGCCCAGCTAATTTATTATTTTTTGTAGGTACGGGATTTCACTATGTTGCCCAGGCTGGTCTTGAACTCCTGGGCTCAAGCAATCTACTTATCTCAGCCTCCCAAAGCATCGGGTTTGCAAGCATGAGCTACCATGCCCAGTCAAGACAGCTTCCTGAGCAAGGAATTTACCGTCACCATCAGCACACTGTTCCTGACAACTGGTTCCCAAATCTGGCCCATTCACCTCAAAAATGAGTGAGGGATTTGTTCCCTTCTCTCTTTCACCACTGTGACTTACTCGGGTCTTCATCTTCTAGGGACCGTGCTAAGTCATCTTTGTGTACCCTAGTTCTCAGCACATGCCTGACACTCTCAGTGGATATTGGGATGTTGATTGATCTCAACTGAATAATTTCTTGACTATTTCACTTCAGTAGCCTGCAAGCCATCTTCCCTGCCACCAGTCTTTTCCTCCCCTCTTCCACACTGGGACTGTGATCTTTCTTACAACAATGACAAAAGCCCAAAATCTCTGTCGGATTCCTCTTGTTTCCCCAGGGAAGCTCAGATTGTTGACACAGTGCACAGTGCCACATATGACCTGGCCCAGCTCTGTCTCCAGCAGCTCCCCTTCCCATCACTTGGGCTTCTCACCCTTCACGGACCATGCCATGTTCTTCCACATCTTGTTACCTTTGACCTCAGGCACATTCGTCCACTTTTCCTTGCTAAAATTTCCTTGTTTTAAAATGCATATGATCATAGTACTTACCTATCTCATACGGGTTAGCAATGAAGAGACCAGATGAGGTTAATTTGTGTAAAACACTCGGAACGTGAGCATCGGCATTCCTATGCTCTAAAGCATTCTCTTTCCACTCCTTTCTGGGATCCGCTGCCCCAGGCCTAGACAGTGGCAAGTGACAGTTTTCTGTGATGGCCTTCTTCAGTTTCTCCACCTAGCCGAGCTACTCTGTCGCTGGTGCGCCTTCTTCCTCTATCTTCTTCTTCTAAGTAATAGTGACTTATTTATAGACCGGACAACGTCAAGAATTACGGACAGCGATGTTACTATGTCCATATAATGTCCAGCCCCTGGCAAGGCAGGCACCAATATATGCTTGTCTGTGTTCTGGAAAATAAAACTATGAATAGATCCATCTGATAAAGCACACATTCAGAGGACACAAAAGCTTATTTTATTAAAGGGTTCAATATTTGATTTTAAGGGAAAATGAATTTGAAAACAAATTCCTTTCAGGCAGAACATGCTAAGCATTGATTATTCATTAAGGAAATAAAGAATACATTAAAGATACTACAAAAATGATTTAAATTTTTTTTTTTTTTTTTTGAGACAGAGTTTCACTCTTGTTGCGCAGGCTGGAATGCAATGGCCCAATCTTGGCTCACTGCAACCACCGCCTCCCAGGTTCAAGTGATTCAAGTGCCTCAGCTTCCCGAGTACCTGGGATTACAGGTGCCCCCACTATGCCCAGCTAATTTTTGTATTTTCAGTAGAGACGGGGTTTCCCCATGTTGGCCAGGCTAGTCTGGAACTCCTGACCTCAGGTGATCCACCCACCTTGGCTTCCCAAAGTGCTGGGACTACAGGCGTGAGCCACCATGCCTAGCCCAAAATGTTTCTTAACCCGTGGTTCAGAATTATATTCAATCGACATGAAAACGATAGAACAGAAGAGTTATATCAACTCACCTGCAGTGTTTTATTTTGTATACATGTGCATGCAGAGATTCCTACACTTGGCAGGATTAAAAGGGAACTGCATGCCAGGAATGGTTCTGGGTGCTGGGTAGACATTGTTATATAAAACAGACATGGTTTGTACCCTCGAAAGATGACACCTCATCTGAAGCGTGGTAGGATTGATTTTTTGCACTGGCACATTGATAACAGAACTTATACCAAAGAAGGCATATTAAGAAAATTTTTGTTTCTCAGTGTTTCTTATTCTTCACCCTCAAAATCAAATTCATCATGCTTGCCTGTCAGCAGCTCAGCTAGGTCAGTGCTGTCATGATTTAATCTCAGGATGTTTTTGTTTATATACTGTAAAATCTATACTTAAACTTTTATTCTCTTTTCCCACTTTTGTTTTAAGCTTTTGACTGTCTTCTTCCACATCCCCATAGCAACCTCTTGCTTGGATCCTTCCTCACCAGTCTGTTATCTATCTGCCTATATTCTAATCCAGATCTGATCAAGTTGCACATTTCTGCTCAACATCCTTGGAAATAACCTCAAAAGGCCTTAGGCTAATGCACAGGGTTCTGCCTTCTAGCTCTGACTCACCTTCCTGGCCTCATTTTATGCCTCACTCTGAAAACACTTGGTATTTTTAGATTTATGGTCTCTTTCCTATCACTCCCCTTTTCTTTGTTCAGCAAAACCATCCTCCATTCAGGCCCAATTCAGATGACTCTCCTTACCCCAGATGTAATCATGTCCTCAACGCTCCCACAACACTTTGATCCTGTCCTTGTTTAAAACCCTTCTCAGAGGCCGGGCATGGTGGCTCATGCCTGTAATCCCAACGCTTTGGGAAGCCAAGGCAGGTGGATCACTTGAGCTCAGGAGTTTGAGACCAGCCTGGGTAACATAGTAAGACCCTGTCTCTACCGATTTTTTTAAAAAATTAGTCCATTGTGCACCTGTGGTTCCAGCAACTCGGGAGGCTGAGGTGGGAGGACTGCTTGAGCCCAGGAGGTCAAGGATGCAGTATGCTGTCCCACCATATTCCAGCCTGGGCAACAGACAGAGTGAGACCCGGTCTCAAACAAACAAACAAACAAACCAAAAACCTCAGGATGTATAGAGAGAACTGCCAAAATGTTTCTCTCTTCCCTTGGATCATACATTCAGAGAGGTGAAAACTATATCATATTCACCTGTAATCCAGCGCTTATTCTTTTCCCTAGGAGAGGGAAAAAGGGGCAATGTTCAAGTGAAAACTGAGTCTGGAAAAGGGGCTTCTCCAGGGGTGTCAGTATAGTTCTCGGATCAGCAGCACCGGCATGAGTGTGGAAGCTTGGTAGAAATACAGACTCTCAGGCCCCACCCCAGACCTGCATCTGCATTGTAGCAAAATCCCCAGGTGACCTGTATGCACATTAAAGATTTGAGAAGCACAGGGTAGAGCACTTGAGATTGTGTAGGTTCCAAATCCACCTGTCAACAGATGGGAGGAGGGGATGCATCCTGCTGGGTTTCCTCAGTGCTTCTGAGGTCACACGGAGACCGGGAATCACAGGTAGGAGTGGTCAGTTCATCTGCTGACAGAGAGTAGCTTTTTTTATTTTTCTTTTTTGAAAAAGAGTCTTGCACTCTGTCACCCAGGCTGGAGTGCAGTGGCATGATCTCGGCTCACTGCAACCTGCACCTCCCAGGTTCAAGCGATTCTCCTGCTTCAGCCTATCAAGTAACTGGGACTACAGGTGCCTGCCACCATGCCCGGCTAATTTTTGTATGTTTTTTAGAGATGGGGTTTCACCATGTTGGCCAGGCTGGTCTCGAACTCCTGACCTCAAGTGATCCGCCCACCTCGACCTCCCAAAGTGCTGGGATTACAGGCGTGAACCACCTCGCCTGGCCAAGAGGGAGTAACTTTGAAGTTGCACTTCACCCAGCATTCACGGTACCAGCACCCGCTTTTTGCTTCAGACCGACATTCACATCAGTATTAAAATCATTCACGGTTATTTCCTTTCTCTTTTGTAGGTCTTTCGATGGATTTTCTAGTGGCCAAAAGAATCAAGAACAACTTCTGACATTAGCAAGCATTTTGAGGGAAGATGGAAAAGTTTTTGATGAGAAGGTTTACTACACTGCAGGCTACAACAGTCCTTTCAAATTGCTTAATAGAAATAATGAAGTGTGGTTGATTCAAAAAAATGAACCCACCAAAGAAAACGAATGAGAAAAATGAAGTTCCGCTGTCAGAGGCAAAACGTCTGTTTATCATAGACACCAACATGACCTCTAAGTAAAGTGCGTGTCTAGTGTCTTCTATTGAGAATACTACTATTAATGAAGCTTACTTCCAGTGTGCCTTTTTAATGCTTGAAGTTTTACCTACATATACAGGTAACAGAGGACAGTAGTGTGTAAACATATAAATTGGTCATAACTATGGCGGTCTTTATTTCTGTGAGGATCTAGGGAAATTTCACGTCACTTCCCTCTCCTTCACTGCATCACAATCATATTTCCTTTTTTTCCTTGGATTTGTGTCAGTTGGATGATATCCCCTCCAGATAGTATCAATAAAAATGTTAAAGATTTATCTTGTGTGGAACCACTAGGCTGTCAGGCCCGGAGAGGTGAAATTCAGTTGGACACAAAAATCAAATTGTCTTTTGTGGCTGCCACCATTACATTCTCTGTTGTATGTATTACATTCCTTCCCGCATCCTCCCACTGCCCCACTGCCCCACTGCACAAGAATACTCTATTTAACTCCATTTAAACGTAGTGAATTCATTCCTTTCTTTCTAGTCTCCACTTAACCCCCTAAAAATCTTGCTTTTTCCCCTAAACATTTCACTGTTAACTGTCACGTATTTTCATTCATTCTTGAACTCATTGTAGGGAGCCCCTGCTCTGTTCCGAGCACTCTGCTAAGGTAAGAAAATCTGTGTCCCAAGCCCCTCATCACTGACTTCCTCTTTACTAACTTCAACAACATCTTTCCACCTCCTTAACTATTTCATTCACCTTCCCACTGTGAACACGACAGGTAAGGCCCCTGGCCTCATGGAGTTTACATTCTAGAGGGTGAGGGAGTTCAACACAAATAAGATAGTTGAAATTGGCAAGCATGATGAAGAACTGAAATAGGGCAGTGGGGTAGAGTGTGGTTAGGTAGGGTGTGGTGGGCATCACATAAGGTGGTCAGCAAAGGCCTCTCAAGAGACAGTTGAGACTTGAATGACGAGGAGGAGTCAGATGAAAGCCAGGGGCAGACGTGACAGTGTTAAAGGGAGAGGCCATGTTTGGTACCTAGAACAAACAGCTGCACACACTGCTTGCTGAGCAAGAGAGCACTGTAGGGCACAGTCTCTCCTGATAAAGAAAACTGCTGACCTTAGGCAGGGTTTTAGGAGGGATTAACAGACTTTCAAAAGCATTTAGGAGTTGATCGAGCTTTAGTTGTGGAGATGCAGTTACCAGAGTGAGGCCGCTGCTGATTAGCATGATTTAGAAGCCTGGTTTGGAGGTGAGGTGACTGATATGAAATTGTCATTGATTGCTTCTGGTACTTAATTGTTACTATGACCAAAGCATGGTCAGTTTTATTCTGGGATTTGAAGTTGTGGCAGACAACGTGAGGTGTGCCACTCAAATTTACCTTCAAGAAAGTACCAGCCGCCCAGTTGTGAGGCGTGTGGTTCGCTGACAGTCTCCCCTGTTACTGTCTTCAGGGTCCACGCCAGATTTCAAGATAAGGACACACTATTCTATGGGAGAGAGGGGGACCTAGTCAAAACTGAGCAAGGCAGTGGTAGCTGACAGCATGCTTTTTTTCTGGCAACTTCCAGCCAATAACTGAGCAAGGTGGTGGTATAAGACCTAGCCATTTAGGCCAGGTGCAGTGGCTCGCATCTGTAATTCAGCACTTTGGGAGGCTAAGGTGGGAGGATTGCTTGAGCCCAGCAGTTCAAGACCAGTCAAAGCAACCTAGTGAGATTGTCTGTCCAAAAAATAAAAAAGTAGCCAAGTGTGGTGGCACACGCCTGTAGTCCCAGCTACTTAGAAGCCCGAGGTGAAAGGATTGCTTGAGCTTAGGAGGCGGAGGTTGCAGTGAGTCATGATCATGCCACTGCACTCTAGCCTGGGTGACAGAGTGAGACTCTGTCTCAGGAAGAAAAAAAAAAAAAAAAGACCTAGTCATTTCTACCAGCTTGAAACCCCTCTAATAGCCTCTGCTCTGGAGGTTTTTGGTGGGCTGGTAGAGACTTTGTTAGATTCTACAGTTCCTCTGCTCAATCCTGCTTTTCCCTTTTCCTTTCAGAGATGTCACTTCACCAGTTTTGTACTCCTAACTCCATCTCAGCCTAAAATTGGCACAATTGGTACCAGTGGCCCACGAATGTAGGTGGTAAGACAGCATTAGCAGGCTGAGTGACTCACTGTCTGGCTGGCTCAGAGGCCCCCATCCCTGGTGGATAGGTGACACAGACAGTCCCTGGCACAATGATGAAGACTGCAGATGAAATGGCATGCTGCTACAAGGGAACACAATGACTGCTGGGTGATTTGGGTGTCTCAAATATGGGAAGGGTGGATGAAAGAGACAAGGACAATGGGCTTCCATGGTTATTGCTGAGCTGGATTGACATCCTGCAAGTGGATAATGAAAAACTGAGGTCAGTTAACAAACAAAACCAAGTGTGAGCAGCAGAGTCTCTGTGGTAGCTTGCCAGCAAGTCCTCACCTCATGCTGTAGCCAAGCAGAGCAAGCTGAAGGTCAAGCACAGGATTCCATGGTAAAGGTAGCTAACAGCCAACAGATACTCAACCAAGCCAGGCCTGTTAGATCAAGGTCAGAATCAAACGTGGGAACCTAAAACATGGGATGGGGGCATTTAGTGGATATCCCCAACCATTTGACTCCCTAGGAGACTCCCTGAATGTTCAGAGCCTGCAGAAGAGGCCCACCCTTCCCCATGAAGAGCTGGCAGTACCCTCCCTCCCTGCCTCTCCCCTAACACAAGGGGATTCAGTGTCCAAGGTCTTTCCCCATGAAGCAACAGGTGCCCCTCAAGATTGGTCCCTCCCCTTCTCCTGGCTACCAGGCCTATAACAAGACTTAAGTCAGAACATAACTGATTGCAGCTGAGGGGTCTGATGAGGGAGAAATGGACTCTATGCCAGAGGAGCCACCTAACCTGGTGGCATGTACTGCAGGGGGCAGGGGTATACTCTTGGGACTGGATCCCGAGGGTGCTTGGTCAAAGGGGCTGGGTTTTTACAACTAGATAAAGGAGAGGGTATATTGACTTGGGGCTCTCAGGATACAGGATTTCACACCATGAGAAACATGCCAGGAGATAATACAGACTCACTGCTCTAGGGTGGCTTCGTAGAAGCCTAGAAAGAGTGATCAGAATGTTGAAATGCCTGAATGGCTGGGACAAACAATAGAGAAAGGAATGAGAAGGCTCAGGGAAGGGAGCCTGCTGGCATGGATACATGAGGCAAGGGGACCCATCAGACAATTATGTTCCACGGGAAGGCCCAGGGGACCCATCCTTCAGCAAGGCCGCTGGGAATGCACTGGTGAGCAGGCTTGAGCATCATGAAGGAGCTCAGCGGTGGCTCTCCTCGGCAGGCTGGGGCTGGCAGGAAAGGCTGTGATGGAACTTCGCTTGCTGAGAGCAATGTGGATGATGGTAAGACCTTGAAGAGCCCAGGTGGAAGTGCCAGCCACAGAAGCCAGGGTGCCATCAGTATCTTGTTAACCACTAAGCTCCAAATGGCAGCCAAGGGGCCCTGACCTGTAAAGTCTCATGGAAATAGTTGGTAGAACAAGGCATTCCTAGGGACAAAACAGCTGACTAATCAACAAGGGTAAGGCTTTATAATCAAAAGCAAGCAAGAACTGATGAGCAGGGGACTGAGAGATATCACTCCAATTAAAAAACAAAAACACGATTCCTTGCCAGTTTCTAGTTCAGTTTTCTGACCCAGAGCTCATTAATTGCAGAGGTGACTGTACCCTAGGGGAAAGTTTCCTGCAACATTTCAGCAGGTGTACACAGTAATGATCCCCTCATTCTTTTTCTAAAGGATCTATGGCCGTTTACTCAGGTGGCTCTACCCTGGGGAAAGAGGAATACCTGGATACGTCAGGATCCAAGTTAACATCTGATACCCACTAACCCAAAGTGTCATTACAGTTCCTCCTCTTCCCATTAAAATGGGAGCATACAGAGGTTAGAAAGTCAATGTAGTTCTAATCGAAGTTTGGCTTACAGCAGATCTCCTGGGCCTGCAGGTTATCTGATTGGTTATCTGCCTAATTCCTGAATGTATAATTGAGACTGACATCCTTGGCAGGCAGCATAACCCCTACATTTGTTCCTTGACCTGTGGGGAAAGAGTATAAGCTTCTAAACTCCATCTCCTTCAATCAGGGCAGTAAACCATAATCAATATTGCCTTGAACAGTGTTTTTTAAGCACCTCAGGTGAACATCTGCTTTTGGCCATGATGATGAAATGGGAACCCAATTTACCCGTCCCTCTTAAACAACTAAAAACGCAGACAAAATATATGAAACAATGGTTTTCAGACACTGAAAGTTCATAGTACAGGACTGTGATCTCTGAGAGAAGGGGGAATAATGAAGTGAGTCCAATGATTGCTCAAGCTAATGGCCTGGAGGCAGTTTCTAGGCAGCAAAGCAGGGAGGGGGAAGCCAGAGACCAGTGGTCCTGTTGCGTTGAGGAGCTGGAGATCAGTGTTACTGGAGGCCAAGGTGAGTAAGTGAGAGGAGAGAAGGAAGCAGCACACACACACAGTGCTGTAGATCTGCAGTGGGTCCCCTAGAGTCCTTGGTTGAGTGAAGGTGTAAGAAGAAACCACCTAAGCCAAGAAATGAGTAACTGGAAAGTAGTAGAGTAAATAATTTACAGATCATCTACAGGGCTGCGAAAAGTTTGGGTTTCCATTAGCCATAGTAGAAATAACTCATAATGCATGGGTCATCAGGTGAAATCCTCCAAAGGGTGGTTTTGAGGTCAAATTGTTCCTAGACCAAAGGCTTCTTTGGACTTCCCCTAAAAAAGCTTAAAGGCAAGCCTTGGAAGGATCAAACTAATTTCAAGAAACTTAACTGTGACTCAGAATAAAGCCCAATACCATTTACAGGAATATAACAAAATCCATCAACAAACAACGTAACACTCATAATTCCCAACATCCAGTTAAAAAAAAGTACTGGAAACAAAGAGAAATATAAATTATGGCCCATAATTAGGAAAAAAAAAAAAAAGAGTAATCATTAGAAGTAGACCCAGAAGTGACACATATGAAGAAATTAGCAGCTTAAATTATGTGATGTGGCAGATCTTATGTACTGGAGGTAGGGGGAAAGAAGATGCAGTGTGAACAGATGACAAGGCCCAGTGAAAGAATCACAGTGCAGGTCCCTGGGGCCCTGAAGCAAGGTGGTTCTAACTGCAGGAGAGAATCATATGCTTTTTGTAAAACAGCCTCTGCTGTGCTACTGGGCCCTGGTAGACGCGGAACTTTGAGACCCAGTGATGCTGTATCCAGAATTGCCCATCTTAACTGGGTCCTGTGGGAAGCACCAAGTCATAAGCTAGTAGGATCGGCAGCCGTCCATTGGAAGATGGAAATGATATATACAGGAGCAGTTCCAAGCTGGACTGGAGGACATAAGCAAACTGCAAGAGCAATGATCCCAACCACCATGTCTGAACAGTGGCACCTACATCACCCCTCCCTGTGGTTGTTGGAGGACCTATATAATCCACTGAAGGAAGAGGAATGCATGGGCTTGGTTTATTGATTAGTCATCTTATTCTGTAGTTGCAAGCTGAAAATGGACCCTCACTCAAAGGTGACATTGAAAAACGGGAAAAAAATTGCAATCTTACTGTAAAAACCAGGCAGAATTTTTTGAGGTACACTGGATCATTCACTTTGTGAGGGAGGACAGGGAAAATATTTATGGAAATAGCAGAAAATGACCTGCCAGCTGATTAGGAGTTTGGGAGGAAAAAACATGGATGATTAGGAGGTCTGGGCTAGAGGCATGTGGATGGGCATATGGAGTGGACACAGAACTTGAAAAACTGTATGACATGTTAATGCCCACCAGATAGCACCCACCACAGAAGAGGCACTAAACAACCAAGTAGATGAAATGACTTAGCCTGTTGTATTAGCTTTTGCCAGTGCCCACCTCAGTGCTGGTAAAATGCGTACACAAAGTGGCAGTGGTGGCAAAGATGGAGGCTATGCATGGAACCCAGAACATGCACTCCCACTTACCAAGGCCAACTTAGACACTGCTCACTCTCACTATCCAACCTGCCAGCATTAGATACCAATACTGAGACCCCGATGAGGCTGTGAGGACCAACTCGTCACTTGATAGCAAATTCACTATGGTGGGCTCATTCTTTCCTAGAAGCACCGGCAGTTTACTCACACAAGGACAGACTTCCTATTCTAGGTATGTGGTTCCTTTTGGGCCCACAGGGTCCTGAACACAATCTAGGGACTTATAAAAACATCTGATCTGCCAACATGGACTTGCTGAATATGTGATCTATACATGTTAACACCCAATCAGGGAGAGTTCGCCAATGGCCATAGGATCCACGTCTCCTATCACATACGGCACCACCTAGAAGCTGCTGGCCTGACGGAACGTTGACATTGCCTGCTTTAGCGCCAGGTGGGAGACAATACCCTGCCAAGATGTGCCACCATCTCCTGCACACGGTATACTTATTGAATCAGAAAGCCTGTATGATGTTGTGTCTACGACAGGAATATATAGATTTCAGAATCAAGGAGTGGAGGCAGGAGTGACCCCACTTACCATCACACCCAACGAACCATTGAGGGACTTAGTACTTCCCATGCCCGAAACTCTGGGTTCTACAGCATCAGAAGTCCTAGTTCTCAGAGAGTGTATACCTTCTCTAGGCAATATTGCAAGAATCCTATTGAACTACAATCTGCTGCTACTACGTGGGCACTTTGGACTCTCTGTGTTCAGGGACCAGTAGGCAAGAAGTCACCATCTAGTCAAGGGTAATTTAGCATGAACTGCAAGAGTAGGTAAGCCTGCTGTCAGAGGATGGGGGCAAGAGCAGTGTGTGTGGAACTTAGCAGATCCACTGGAGGCACCCTCTGTACTCCTCGCCCAGCTGTAACTGAATGGACTAGTGCAGCAACCCTGGTCTGAGAAGGGTTTGGCTCCCAGGAGCTCAGGACCCTCAGGAATGAGAGCTTGGTTTATACTATCAAAAAAGCCACCAAGACCAGCAAAGATGACAGTTGAGGGTGAGGGGAATTTAGAATGAAGCAGGGAGTAATGAGGACCAGTTGTGGTTCCAAAACCACTTGCAGGAAGGTGCTCTAGTTGGTCCTACCAAACTCCTCTTTCAACATTTATCCTCAGGAGGAGACTGGAACAGTCACTCTCTGCGTGTTTTGGGGGAAATGGATCCACAGAGGCAAGGGGTGGACCGTGGCAGGCATGGGGAGGTGCCATTTAGATCCCCCTTCAAGACAAGACGTGCCATCCAGCTGCAAGGAGTGTGGGTAGCTGGCAGGCACCAGCTGCTACTTCACCAGGATCTACCTTAGCTTTCAAGCTGAGGTGACACTATTCTCAAGACAGGAGGGGTTGGTGGCCAGTGATTTCACTAAATTATGGAAATTGAGAGCATGCTTTTCTCTGGGGGGGCTCTTGCCAAAGACCAAGCAAGGCAGTGGTACCAGGACCTAGCTGTTTCAGTCCAAAACAGGACTCCTCCAATGAGTGACCTTTTTCCCAGAGTTCCCCTGGGATGGCGGATCACCTGCTCTCCCTGCCTCGTCCTGCTTCCTCTTTTCCTTTCAAAGGTGCTTACTCCAATAATAAAACCTTTGGTATTCTAACTATCTCAGTGTCTATTTCTTGAAGAATCTAAACTGGCAGTAGGATCATGCCCCTTACTGATAGCTCAACCACATTTTCTATCTTTGGGCCTCCTTGTCTTTACCTAGCACATGAGAAGCATTTATTAGGACTTCTTTTTCCATTGCTGAACACATGACTACAGATTGCTCTACTCTTTGTTCTGTGAGTAAAGGCTGGCCGCTGTGGAAGGTAGGTCAGAGCAGGCAACTGAGAGAAACTATCACAGTTACCGAATGGCTTATTAAGGAAAGTGGCGCAAGAATCAGGTCCATATTTCATTCAAATGACCCTCCGTTCCCCCAACAATATCCTCACATCTGCCAAAGCAAATTACTCTGCTGTGCTCATTTGATGATGGAATCAGCATCACATGCAGGCTGAACCCCTACTACGGCAGAACCAAGAAAGCCACTCTTTCCCCTCTCCTCCTAAGATGCTGCCCTGATGGGTGGGGAGAAATATGGAGACACAGAAACATCTCCTTTTCACTGTGATTCTCCTACGGAATATACTGTCACCCCCACAGGAAAAGCAAGAGTTCAATCAAGATTCTTCAGAAATAGTATGATGGCAGAAAGCAGATCACATTGAGGTTGTTTCCAACTGACAGACCAAACAGTCATTTGTTTCTCTCCCCACTGATAGTAAAAATAAAGTGGAAATAATTTAGGGCTAGGGCTTCTGTCTATGATTATCTGGAACTTAAAGTATCAGGATATGAGAGCCATCAGATCTACCCCTGTGGAGCTTTTGAATAAGATGTGGTCCATAACAGAAGCGGGCCCCATGGAGTAGAGTAGCCATGTGGAAGGTGCCATGTTTCAGGGATGAGTCTCGATTCTTCTCTCCCTGTATTTCATCCATGCCTGTGAGAAGTTGTCACATCTCTCCACATGCCATGTCATCTGAACCGCCAGGCGATAGGTTATTCGTATTTTATTCCAAAGTCCATAGGACATGATGTGGAGTTGTTTTGCCACATGCCCTGGTAGATGGCGCCATCCAGTGTCTACGATGTTCCACCTCCTCTCTGTTGGGTCCTCACCTACCCCAGAGACCTTCCGGTCTCACTGCTTTTCTGTTTGTATCCAGCAAAACACTCAACAATTCTGTACAAGAAGACCTATCTCATTATTCAAAAAAATACATGTATAAACAAAAAGAAATGTTTCAAATATTTACTTTACAATTATTTTATTCAAAGCAAATTAAATACAAATGTGTATTTTTCATTAAAAATGGGGATCTAAAAATAGTTTTATAATTAGTGTTATGTTGCTTTATCTTTGCATAAATTATGTATTAAAGGTTTCTGATATCCATATACATTCTAGTCTTTTTTAGGCAGCTATGAGAAGATTTCATATTCAAAAGCCAACGCCAGTTTTCTAAAGAACAAACGATCTTTGTGCCAAATTAGTAGACAATTGCTCCAAATCTCTGGTCTTGATTTCTGGTTGTGTGAAGAGCAGTGTTTTGTTTTTTTTCAGAGAAGGGAAAGAGTCTTCATTCTTTAGGTTTGTTTTTGCCTCCAAGACATTTCTAAATGGATATCTAAAGTTTTAGTTTATAAGTCTCATAATGACTTGACCCGTGCAGTCCAACTTTTAGATACTTTCATACCCCCCAAAAGCTGGCAGGTGGTAGTTGCACTAGATTCAGACCAACAGTCTCCACATTATCATCCTAGGTCCTTCTAATGAAGACGACAATCCTCTGGCTTATTTAACAAATGAAGTCTAAGTACATGGAAGTTAAGGGAGTAAGGGTGGGGGTAATGAGATTATTACATTAAAATAAAGACTTGGCACACTTGTGTCCCATGTCTAAAATTGTTGAAAATCTGACTGGAGAAGATTATAAGATAATTAGCAACTCAATTATTTATAAACAAATATAAAAACGCACAAACCAAATGATGCAAAAAAAACTTTTTAATCTAAAAATTCATTTCCCAGGGCTAACTGATAGCCAGGCCCTACCAATTTTTATCAGTTTATTTGACTAACAAGAGCTATTCAGCATTTTCTTCAAAGTAAGATAATATATAATAGATTTTGATAAATTTTTCTGAATTAGGACATGATACTGTAGGCAGTTCAAGGAAAAAAAAAATAGCCATAACTTTTTCTTTGGTGTAACCAAAAGGATATCCAAAAGTTAGCAGATGTTGACATTTCAAGTGACAGGAAATTGCCTAATGGAAGTTTAAACTCTGGTTAAAAACAACAACAACAAAACTGTTGTAAAAGGAAAAGCCCCACCCATAGTTCTGTAGTGCAAGTTTTCAAATTTAATTCTGAAAAATAATTTTATTTCATAGGCAGAAAACAAATTCCAGCAGTGTATCACTTTACTCCTCTAAAAACCCTTCCCCTCTCTGTATGTCCACACCGTCACTTCAGTTGTCAATGACCTCAGCTGCTACTCAAGGAGGAAATTCATTAAAAAATTACCCACACTTCTAAAAATCAGGCTACAATTGTGTGTACGTGGCTGCACAGCAGCAGGCACCAGGTTACAGCGTTGCCACTTCTACATGTTTGTCATTTTTACAAAAAAGAAGCAAAGTCTACCTCCCCTAGAAAAAAGTACCTGAACCAATTAGTCACTTAGCCCCTTCCCAGCCTCTCTGTGCTCATCAGACCTGCCTCACCTCAGCAGCACACGTGTGCATATATCTGTGTTCTGTGCATTAAGATCCAGCAACTCTACTGCCTCTTTCTTAGAAGTAACATCTTCTCCTTTCTTACGGAACTCGCTGATTTCCATAAACGTAATGCTCTGAAAGCAATTACCATCTAGTCCAGAGTAACTCCGTTACTCTATCAAGCTTAACTCTGGCTTGCTTTCTTCTGTTTCTGTACATGTTGTTTGTGTATACATGTATTTTTTAAAAATTAAAATGTGTTGAAAATGCACACACACACCCAGCATTCAGCAAAAAAAAAAAAAAAAAAAAAATCTTCCCCAGGAAGCACTTTCAGAAGTTTAAGCTTCTACTTGTTCTTAAGCCACAGGGCAAGTGCCAAGTGAGTCCTAAATAACCCTTCACTCACACTGCAGGGCTGGCAACCCTGGGCCCACAGCACAGAAACAGCGTGGGATCCCCGGGTGAGCCAGGGAAGGGCGCCTAGCAGGCTTCCTAGAGTGCTGCATTGCTCATCTCCCCCCCGTGTCTCCTGGGAGAGTTACGTTCTTGGCCCTAACTCTCCTCACTCAGAGAACCGCCACACTGCGGGGAGGGCTCTCTGCCCTCTGCACTGGCTGTCCCATCCACGGGGCCAGGGGCCTGGGGCTGCAGAGAGGCGGCAGCCCCCTCCCCACAGAGCAGGCTGCCCTCGTCCCTCTCCTCCCTCGCTAGTCCGTCCAGGGAACATCCCTCCGCAACGCCCAGAGCCCCGTGGGCCACGCTGTCCACAGGCTCCACGGCCTCCCCTTCTCCCTCCGAGATGACGGTCATGGGGCTGCTCTGGATCCGGTTCCGCATGCTGTACCTGCTGCTGGCGGCACAAGGCGGTGTTCGGCTGCGGCCGTACCTGGGGCCGGAAAAGGACAGACTCCGAGGCATCAAGCCTTCATTCTTGGCCCACTCCTCCTGCGCCCTTCTGTTTTTGCTTGGGGAACAGCTTGACGGGCTCTCGGGGGCATCTGGTGAAGGTTCTGACCTTGACCTCTGAAATCTAGGGTCTGTGTTCTTGAGCATCTCTGCTGCAGACATGCGGGCGCTGGTGTCTGAACGACTGCCCTTTTTTAGCAGCAGAGCTTTGAAATTGTCACTGCTGGTGCTGCTCTTTCGGATGCTTCTCTGAATCGATCCCACTTGCTTTGGAGAGGCCAGGCTCGGGGCAGCGCCGGTGGGTGTCACGGGTGGGGAGGGAGAATGGTTTCGGGAGTGGTCATCATCTGAATCTCTACGGCCGAGGACTTTCCTTTTGGATCTGAGATTTAATAACATTAAGAAAAAGGTTAATTCCCATGGGACCACAGACTGTGGTCACAGTCACAACCACTCTGCTTCTCTTATCGCATCTTCAGGTCACCATCTACTTCAGATTCACTTTCAAAAAATTTATTTTTCACTGGGCACAGTGGCTCACACCTGTAATCCCAGCATTTTGGGAGGGCAAGGTGGGAGGATCACTTGAGCTTAGGAGTTCAAGACCAGCCTGGGTAACACAGTAAGACCTTATCTCTATTCAAAAAAAAAAAGAAAAATAAAAATTAATACATGCATAATTATTTATTTATTTAAGACAGAGTCCTGCTCTGTTGCCCAGGCTGGAGTGCAATGGCATAATCTCAGCTCACTGCAACCTCCGCCTCCCAGGTTCAAGCGATTCTCCTGCCTCAGCCTCCCGAGTAGCTGGGATTACAGGTGCCACCATGCCCAGTTAATTTTTGTATTTTTAGTAGAGATGGGATTTTGCCATGATGGCCAGGCTAGTCTCGAACTCCCGACCTCAGGTGATCCACCTGCCTCGGCCTCCCAAAGTGCTGGGATTACAGGCGTGAGCCACTGTGCCCCGCAAATAATTTATTTTTAACTTTGAAAATTTCAAACACCCACACAAAAAAGAACAGCTCATTGCAAGACCACATGAGCGATAATCATGAATTAGGGTCACCTTTCTTTTGTCTCCACCCTCCCTATTTGAAACAAATCTTAGACACTGTATTAACTTACTTTGGATAGGACTAAAAGTTTTAATAATGGCCAGTTTTCCTTGATGTCTCCTAGATGGGCTGATCCAGAGTGAATTTCACATGCTCACCCTCCTTTCTTTCTACGCTTCCTTTTCTTGTTCCATGCCAGAATATCCCCTGTACTAAGAGGTACCCCACTCCAGGTCCTAGAACAACTCCTCAGCTTCACATTCTCAGTTATTTTAGAAGTTGCCATCAGACCAGTCTTCCTCAGCTCTTTCAGGACCATGTGCCAACTTCTAAAATCCAGCCTTCCAGAAAACAAAGGTGAACCCTCTGTGCCAGACCCTGCTTCATGATTGACTCAGCAAAGCTTGCACTGATCAAGAAAATGTGAGGGGTGGGGTGGGGTGGGGTGGGGAAGACGAAGGGGCAATCAAAGAAAGTTGAAGGTTTCCTGTCGATATTTCTTGTCCTGAGTCTCTAAGAACCTCACTGTTCAATGTGCTTTCCATTGACAGTGGCAAAGAGATGAAAAAGGCAATGAACCAAGTGGCCCCTTGCTGGTCTCTTCATGACAACAACTCAGTGTGTGTCTCTTAGCTAAGTGCAGGACAACTTGCTTTAAGGAAACTCGACACAGTTAACAGAATAAAGACGTGGGTGTATCTCTTTTCCTGCTATAAAATTGTAGAACATGCAGCAGGGAAAGGTTGAGAGTATGATTCTATACATACAGATTAAGAGTTGAAACCAGACTCTTCCCACCTCTCGCTGTGTGACCTGGGACAAATTACCCATGTGTGCTGTGCCTCCTCACTTATAAGATACCAACCTCACAGGTTTGTGAAGATTAAGTGAAATAAAGAAGCTACATGGCTCCCACTGCTAAAGCTTCCTTGTTCCGTCGTCTTGGACAAGTTAACATTTCTGACTGTGTATTTTTCCTATCACAAAAAGGGGAATAACAGTATATAGGTCACAGTTTGTCAGTACATGTGAATGTAGTAATAGCCATAATTGGTCAGGCATGGAGCAGGTGCTTAACAAACCTTTGAATGTCACATAGAAAATGGATTTAGTTTTTACGTGGCGTACACAGCAAGACTGAGGGCAAGATGGGCCCATGCTGGCTGCCCTGGGCTTGGTGTTCCTGGGGTCATCTCCATTCTTCTGGTCAAAAAGATGCCACTAAAGCAGAAGTTGGGAAATGGTAAGGACCCAATACAGAGTCTGAAGGGTGGCCAGAGTGGACAGGGCACCAGACTCTTTGGGACCTCAGAACACGACCTATGGTACAGGTTTCATGGTCCCGCTCAGTAGTCAACAAGAGCAGTGTCCTGATAAGAGTTAGGACCGGCTGACAAAACTACAGACATCCTAACATCTCAAAATTGTAGAGCTAGAAAAGACGTTAGAAATGGTCTGGTCCAACTACTTTGGGTTTCAGAAAAGGTAACTGAGAAAAGGTAACTTGTTAGTATGACAACTAGGACTTAAGCTTACAGCACGTGGCCTCACCACTTACATCGTCTACTCCCCAAAGCAGCTCTGCTCATTTCATTCTTTTAGGTATTGGCTGGTGACTTAATTTTTAATTTAGTTTTTAAATGGTGAGGGTATGCTGAGATCCATTAAACAAGTCACAACTAAACTTGATTAAAACTATGACCTTTAATTGTAGACATAGAATTAAGAAAGAAGATGGGGTGACCAGCCTGAGCAACATGGTGAAACCATGTCTCTACTACAAATACAAAAATTAGGCGGGCATGGTGGCACACGCCTATAATCCCAGCTACTCAGGATGCTGAGGCAGGAGAATCATTCAAATCTGGGAGGCAGAGGTTGCAGTAAGCCAAGATCGTGCCACTGCACTCCAGCCTGAGTGACAGAGTGAATTGGACTCTGTATCAAAAAAGAAAAAAAAAAAAAAAGGAAGAACGATGGGATTTTATGAAAGCACTGTCATCTCTCAAGAGCAGGTGCCCACTAAAATAATTAAATCTAAACGTACAAATTCTTTGCCTATACATACACACAGACACACACACAAATATGTATTTTTAAGGAAGACGGCTATAAAAAGTGCTTAAACAGTTAACACTGATTTAAAAACTAATTACTTCAATAAATATAAAAACTTCACACCTCAACTGGTGTTCTACATTTTCCATCTGGCTTTAAATCTGAAGTGAATTAATTTGCATTATAAAATTTGGAAGCTATGTTCCAACTTAGATACTCTTTATTTTAAATTATGAGCTTAAGCGCTGAAGGACATAAAAATAAAGCCTAAAAAAGCACATACAGTAGATGAATTTTTACTATGTCTGCTAATTTATTCTCAACGCTACAACAGAAATTAGCATGTGTCCTCGCTCTCTCTCTGCAATCCATTCCTAAGGCCTACTTGGCTTTTACTTCTCTCATACGTGCACTGAATAATACGAACTGACCGATTTCTACATCTGCAGTCGATGTAACGCCCTAGTAAGAGAAACCACACATTTTTCAGTGCCTTAAGAAGGTTGCCAAAATATAGAAGAGGCTTTTGGCATATTTTTGGGAAAAAAATATGCAGTAATTTGGACCTACAACAGTTGGGTTTCCTCACTGGAACCAAGTATTTAGTACACAGGATGACCAGGAAATGCAATCTTCTCTGTGGATGGCTATTATAAATAGATAGATATGCCTGTATATTTAGCAACCCAGTGCATTCCATACTAAATGAAATACTTTGAGTCTCGGAAGAATCTTCTAGTGGTTAAATACCAGTTGGTTTCATTTAATTCAGGAAATATTTATTGAGTGCTTCTTATGTGTCCAGCGTGGTTAAGAGTTAGAAACATCTGTGGGAACTTCTAGAATTGCCACTAAAGTTTCAAAGGATGCATCATTTATCATTTCTCTGTTTTGAGAAATAATTGGATAACTAGCTACCTTTTTACTTCTAATGAGATTAAAAGAAACCAGTCCATGTTAAAGCGGGTAGTCTTTAGGATCTATTATACCAACACTAGAGGAGCGATGTAAAGAGCATGATTCTTGAGGAGCACATGAATTCACCTGCTTCGTTCCCCCTGCACCAAGTTAGATGTTTATGTGTTACATGAAGAGCTTCAGGTGGGCACAGCACTATGTTTTTCATCTTATGCAATAGCCTTTCCAGGGAGAGTCCAAGAATTGGGAAAGCAGTGCTGACATAAGATCATTCACACACAGAATCAAATGATTCTATAGGATGCTTTGTTTCAGGAGGTTTAAAAAAAAAAAAAAAAAAGGATCTTCATTCAGGGAAAAATGAGGCCTTAGCAGCATAAGGACATTCATTAGAGTTACCTGGAAATACCGTGGTAAAGAAGTCTAGAAGGAAGCAAAAGGTTTATACAGCATTACAGCATTACAGCTTAACGTACTTGCACATATACAGTCATCAGTTTTTACAATGACACTGTTGTGGGAGTACTCAGCTGTTTACAATCAGAAAAATGATGCAGTAAGTAAAACTTCAGTGCTAAATCATATTTACCCTTAAAGGTGACCACATATAAAAAGTACAAACAGTTCAGGCCATTACTTTGAAAATTTTACCCTTTGTTTGTTTGTTTGTTTTGAACCCCAACGATTTCTGATGCCAGTAGATGGCACTAGTGGTATACAGTAACCAGCACAAATCATTCTTTTGCTCCCGCTTAAAGGGACGTACCCTTTTATAGAAACATTTAAGCAGCCAAAGAAATTGCACTGTATGATTGTGGTTTTTCTGTAAAACGAAAAAAAATTAGAATAAACTAAAAGATCTTTAGGAAGAGAGTCCCATGGAGCTAGTCTGTGCATCCTAAGTCCACAGAACACAGCATTCCTCCTCCTGACTGCACTGTCAGCCGCTTTAATCCGACTCTCGCTAATATCCTCTGTCTTATGACTGCCACACTACACCCCTTGCCAGGAAGAGCAGCGCCTACCAGAAGGTATCACATTGCGCCTCTGTCCCTAATGTCATAAAAATCAGTGAAACAAAGTAAAACAGCAATTGGAGTCAGAGGAAATAAAACTATAAAAATCAACAGTAAAGTTAAGGAGTCATGATTGGGTGACAGAAGAAACCTTGGGGAAGAAAAGTAAATTGAGGTGCTGCTTGGAAAGAAGGAATTACACAGTAGATTAAAGTCAAAGGAAGGAGTTTGAAATACCTGTGAATAGCTGCAAAAAGGTCTTCTGTGGTCCTGGGTCGACTAGGGGTCATCACCTCATCACTCCCGTCTTCCTTGAGGAAGTCACAGGCCTCTGAGGATGAACTGGCTGCGGTGGTCTCCGGCACCCCAGCTACGGAAAAGCAGGCAGGCCCACAAGATGCACAAGTGACTAGAATCTCAGTCCTCAGCCAAGCTTCTAAATACGCTGCTTCCCTGCCATTCCTGACAATGTGAGAACCGCAGGGAGATGCCATAGGTCTGTAGTTTGATAGTTCACAAAGAAGGGAGGAAATGACACTAGCGTGAGAGCCGGAGCTCATTCTTTGTTAAAGTATAGAACGCCCACAGCATCTCTCTTAAATTTTGTTGCAACATTTCTTTGTGGCTCTTTGGAAGGGAGGTGTTACCCATTGCTATTTAATATCCAGCCTGCTGCAGATCATCTCCATCCCCCTATTTTCTGCCATGCCTTTAGGTCTAGATTTTAAAAATAATAACAAAACGCAAAGCTGGTAACTTAATCTGTGTTTTTGCACAGGAAGCCTACATACTGCTAGCTTTAACACCAATCTGATCTACCTGGGTTCTTTCCACGTGTAAGCATTCAACAGCCCTATCTGGTTCAGCTGCATATGGGCAGAGGGCACAGGAGAGAGAAGCCAGGAAGCCAGACTCACCTGCTCCGTCCTGTTGAGATAGGCAGCTCTCCCTATCGCCCCCAGCATCCGTACTGTTCTCAGCTGGCTCCTCCTGCTTGGGGGCTGGTGAGACATCGGGCTGAACCATGAGGACATTGGCTTCCACTCTGCTGGGAGACACGGATCCTGCAGCTCCTCCCTCAAGAACCGAGGTGCCAGGGTGCGTGGCATGAGAGCCAGCTTGGACTGTAGAACTCTCTTTTGCCTCTCTGCTGTGCACAGAGCCCTCCTCTCCCCTCGTGGGGCTGGGCGCGGCTCGAAGGGCTTCGCTCACGTTCTCTGCGGGCTCCACTGCAAAATCTTTCTGCGGAGGTGGTACCACCAGGAACAGTTTGGGCTTCTTGGAAATGGGGGGTGGCTTCCTCCTGGGTGAAGAGTCTGGGAGTGGGGTGGTGCTGGGACTGGGCCGAGCCTCTGCCTCCCCAGCGCTCAAAGCTCCAGGGCTGCGGCTCACAGGGCCGCCGGGCTCGGCCGCACTGCCATGGTCACCCTGACTCGAGCTCTTGGCAGGCGTCGGAAGCGAGCTTGTCACAGAGGCAGGCTGGCTTTCACTCTCCATTTCATTTGTGCTATTTCGGGATTTCAGGAGAGCAGATGGCTTTAAGTGGTACTGTGGAGCAACTGGAGTTCGTTGTTCCTGAGCTGTTCGTTCAGACAACAGTGCTGCCTCGGTGCCTGAGTTCTTTCTCACTGGCCTCAACTGCACCATCTGCAATGCTTCCGTGGTTATCAGGGGCATGGGGGGCCTGCTGGTCTCCTCCTTGGTAGAAGGCGGCCTCAAGGATCCCCGGGAGGATTCTGGCTGGCCAGAATTTGTGAAAGGCGGCCTGGTGTCTTTCATGAATTTGGGGTCAAGAGGTGGGGCGGGTGGGGGCTCCGAGAAAGGTAAGAGAGGTGGGGGCAATGGCAAGGACACAGGTGAATCTGGAAGAAGCGGGCTCAGTGCAGTGGGCGGGGGAGAAAGGCACCAATCAGGTGGGGAGCAGAAGGGAGTGAGAGCTTCTGGCGGCGGAGGGGGGAACACAGGAGAGTGAGGCAGAGGAGAGCCCTGGGAGCAATCTGTGACAGGAGGTGGGGGAGGAAGGAAAGGAGACCTGTCTGCAGGACAAGGGGGTGGAGGAGAGGGAATAGGAGGAGGAGGAGCCAGGGGAGAGCCCACGGCTGGATCCAGTTTCTTCATAGTGCCACTTCCTTCAGTAGAAGTATTAGAGGAAAGAGAAGTGGACGACGAGGAAATGGATACTGAAGATATCAGAGAGGACTTCCTTTCTGGTACCCTGGGCTTGGGCTTCCCCTTCCCATTTGCTGGTGACATTGATTTTAAAAACACAGGCACAGGGGTGAGTGCTGTGGGTGTATTCGACTGGCTGGAATACCCACTGGATGGAGAAATGACTCTGTGGGACTTCTCTGGTGACATGATCTTTGGTTTGACTGAACCACTGGGCACTTGAGGCATTGTGGCTCTGGACCCTTCTTGGACATGGCGGACTGGCCCGTTCCCAGTGGGCACCCCGCTGCTGGTTGAACAGCCCCCTGCTGGGTTCCCCAGATCTTCCTGCATGCCTGTGTAGTCAATGTAGTAACCCCAGGGGTCCGTGTACTCTGACTTGACACTGCTCGTGTCACTCTGCGATGGTGTGGCCCCGCACAGGGAGTAGACATTGGGGGTGGTGGCGGAAGTCATGCTGCTGCCAGCACTGACCGTGCTCTGGCTCCGGGAGCGGGGCAGCCAGGGCTCTTCCAAGTCACTGCAGGGGCTCTGGGAGGGCGAGCTGCCACCCTTGCCTGGGAGGCTCAGCTGCAGCGAGTGCTGGAGTGTGGCGATCAGGCTCTCGTTGAGCACCTGCCCGTTGGACTGGCCACTCTTCTTGGGAATCCTGCGGAGGGAGTCTGTCCGGGAGGGTGGCAGGGGAGGCTTCTTTGCTTTCTTCAAAGAGATGTTTCTCGATAAGGATTTATCCTGGTAATTGGACCGGTCCCCTTGGTTTTTCTGAGCTCTTCCATCAAAAACATTGACCACGCTGTGCCTGGGGTTCCCAAAGCCATCACTGCTATTGCACAGATTCCCAGATCCATGTCCAGAGTCAGTGTGCACAGATGTGCAGTAGCCATCGTGGTCCTCGGAATACAGCGACCCAGCATCCTCTTTGTTGGACGTTTGGTCCAAACTGCAGCTGCTCATGTTACTTGTGGGAGTGGAGTAGCCAGGAGTTGCTACATGCGGCTTCAGGGGGGATGCCCTTCCATTACCTGAGGACTTGTATTCCCAGGGCTCCGAGCTGCTGTGCCCTCCACCCCCTGAATAACTAGATTCACTCTTGCCATCCACATCTTGGGAGTGGGCTGGGAAGGCTAGGTCGTTTCTACAATTATACGGCATGGCTTGGGACGCATTCTCCCTATTTGCTGGAGCATTTAGAGAGACTGCCGAGTCACAGAGGGACAACAGTGTGGTTGCACCAGGGGAATGAGGGTCTAAGGCCTGTGAAAGAATGGTGGTGTGACCCTCATTCCAGTGGCGCCCGGGAGACTGATGATCATCTTTCACAGCATGCCTGGAGATAAGGTGGTCTCTGGGTTTTATCCTTGCATGTGATGAGCCAGAACTTCTACTTTCCCGCTGCCCTGCACTCTGAGCAGTGTGAATAGCGATGACCTCGGAAGAGGAAGACAGTGTGGCATTTGGGATGATGCTGGTGGAGTAGGCTGCATGAGGAGAAACCACACATGCTGGGCTCATTACATTTTCACTCTCAAAGTGTCTCAGCTCTTGGGATTTGGGTCTCAAAAGTGTTCCAGTCTCTGAGGCACCTCCTAAATGGCCTAAGTTTTCATCTGCTTGTGGGTGACCTCCCTGGTAGAGGAATGTGCCATCCATGTCTCCTGCAGGGCCCAGGGCACCCAGCCTCGGCTCAAGAGACTGAATGTTTGCCCTCACTCCAGAACGCGGAAGACTATGGAAGCCAGCATCACTGTTGAGGCGGGAAGGGAATATGATCCCCGCAGAATCGCTCAGCACAGACATGTTGCCAGAAGAACCTGAGAAGTGGCCCATCTGGGCAGCAATGCCTTGCCCCTTCTGTGCCCTGATTCTCCTCATGGAAGGTGGTACGACCTTCACATCCTCCGTCTGACAGCTGGAGTCCCTAGTTTCTGAGCGCTGCCCAGCAGACCGATAGCTATCGAACCTTCCTAGCGCAGAGTAGTGATCGGGGGTGTGCACTGAGTGACCATCGACATCATCTTGGCCAGTGCCTGATGCTGGAGATAAAGCAGAAAGAGGCTTGTTACCTGAAAATAAAATCCATAGTTCATCACCTATACCCTCACCGCCTCTGACAGAATTTTTTAAAAAATTTTCTATTTGATTTAATGTCCTTTCTCCTGTAGGTACCTAAGTACATTTAAAAAATTACTGATAGCTCTAAAATAAAAATTCTTGTCATGAATTTCAGGTACTTCTCTTAATTTGTACCTCCAATCCTCCTATGGCTTGAGTGCCACATATGGAATTCTCAGGTGATCCCTTCAAGATCAAGGCGCTGAGGGCTCGGAGGAGGATTTACTTTGAAATAACCACCTTTCAGTAAAGTCTTCAAGGTAGCCTTTCACCCACGGGGTGACTGTGCAGACCATCTATCAAGCAGTGACACAGCTTTCCCAAAGGCAGATGAATGTAGTAATTGAACAATAGGGCCACGGAGATACCATGTTTGAGGGGTACTGGTATAAAACAGTGTTAATTACATTAATTCTTTATGTCAGAAGAAAATTCTAAGGCAAAGAAAACTGATTTACAGGCCCATCTGTGTTCCAAACATTTCATTATCCATCTGAAGTCATTATCTATCTGTTGGTGACATTCAAAATTCAACAGCAATCTGTTGTGTTCTGGTGGGGGAAACCGGCAGGAACTGATCCAGTGAACATTTCCTCAAATTAGGATGATTTATTCGTTGGAGTTTTACAACCAAACAGAGAATAGTATGTTTAAAAAAAAAAAGAAACACAAGGAAGGGCCAACAGAGAGGGACATGGACGAGGTAAACCTTAAGTGTAAACAGATTTCAAGCTACCCAGGAAAGAACAGAGCTTATGAGGAAAAAATAAATAAATAAATAAATAAATCACAAAGAACCTACCCAAAGTGTACTGAGAAAAAAAAAAGTTAATCCTTACGACAAATCAAATCTCTAAAAATAGTAGTAAAACTATAGTTCTCCCTATGCTATCTCCATCCAACAAGGACCCGAGAGTATCTATCTATCTCAACACGGGCTTTGCTGAGCAACACGAGTCAAGCACACCCCTCTGTGTCAGTGAACACCTGGATGTGACCCTAGGGGTGATAGGGTTCCTAAGGCTTCCCTCTCCCAACACATAATCTAACCAGGGCATGGACTGGATAGAGAACGCCTTTTGCTCACTCAGATAGCAGCGGGTAGTACTGAAATGGCAGCAATGTGCTTGTATCAACTTCAAAAGAGATGGCACCCTGGAAGGAAGGATACTGGCATAAAGCCGCCTTCTTCACTGTGATGATGGAGAGGAAATTTTATACTTGTATTTTTAGCAAAGATGATCTATTTCCTCTCTCTACCCTCTTTCAAGTACCCACTCACTGAAGACAGACAGACACACAGACACACACACACAGACACACACAGACACACAGACACACACACACGAGGCTGTCACACACAGACAGGGAAAGTGGGCAAAAGGGCAGGACAGAAGAAAAACCCACTTTGAGGAGGTGCAAAGTTTTGCCATTTAGTAATTTAGAAGATAGGCGGTTGACTGGTATTGGTGTATCAGTGCATACAATTTCAATTCCAAACACTCAAAATACCTAATTCCATTCAACAATGAGTTTTGAATGTTTGGAGTTGACCTTATATGAATACATTTTTTTCTTTCAAAACTGTACTAGTTTTTGCATGGAGTTAGTGGTAGATTTTTAACTGTCTTTAAGTAGCATAAACAAAATCCTGATACTTTTGGGTAACAGTTTTAAATATGAAACCATTCTAGGCATGTAAAAAAAAAATAGAAATATAGCTATTTTATCACCGTCTACAGCTAAGTATAACTTTCTTATTGAAATAAAAACATTTCCTAAAGACCTTAAAAAGCATATGAAAAACTAATATATCTTATCACAAGGACTACCAAAATTCTATTCCCAAAACAGACCCTCCAATATTTTCACAGTATTAAAAGTTTCAGAATATGACAGGAAACAGATGAATGCTACAGAGGCATATGTCATTTTACTGTGCTTAGCTTTATTGTGCATTGCAGATAATTGTGGTTTTTTTTTTTAACAGATCGAAGGTTTGTGGCAACCCTGTGTTGAGCAAGTCTACTGACGCCATTTTTCTAACATGTGCTTACTGTGTGTCTCCGTGTCACACTTTGGTTATTCTTGCAATATCTCAAACTTTTTCATTATTGTTAGATCTGTTATGGTGATCTGTGACCAGTGATCTTTGATATTACTATTGTAATTGTTTTGGGGTGCCACAAATCACACCCACATAAGACAGCGAATGTGATTGATAAATGTTGTGTGTGTTCTGACTGCTCCACTGACCAGCTGTTTCCCAGCTTCTCTCCCTCTTCTCGGGCTTCTCTATTCCCTGAGATACAACAATAATGAAATTAGGTCATTAATAGCCCTACATGGCCTCTAAGGGTTCAAGCGAAAGGAAGAGTTGCATGTCTCTCACTTTAAATCAAAAGTTAGAAATGATTAAGCCTAGCGAGGAAGGCATGTCAAAAGCTAAGATAGGCCAAAAGCTAGGCCTCTTGTGCCAAACAGTTAACCGAGCTGTGACTGCAAAGGAAAAGTTCTTGAAGGAAATAAAAAGTGCTACTCCAGTGCATACACAAATAAAAAAACAGCTTTATTGCTGATATGGAGAAAGTTTTAATGGTCTGGACAGAAAATCAAACCAGCCACAACATTTCCCTTAAGCCAAAGCCTAATCCAGAGCAAGGCCCTAACTCTTCAATCCTGTGAAAGCTGAGAGAGGTGAGGAAGCTATAGAAGAAGAGCTGGAAGCTAGTACAGGTTGTTTCATGAGGTTGAAGGAAAGGAGCCATTTCTACAACATAAAAGTGAAGCAGCAAATGCTGACGGAAAAGCTGCAGAAATTTATCTAGAAGATCTAGCTAGGTTAGTTGATGAAGGTGGTTATACTCGACAACACGTTTTCAATGTAGATGAAACGACCTTCTAATCATCTAGAACTTTCAAAGCTACAAGAGGAGGAGTCAATGCCTGTCTTCAAAGCTTCAAAGGACAAACTGACTCTTGTTAGAGCCAAAGTAGCTGGTGACTTGAAGTTGAAGTCAATGTTTCTTTACCATTCTGGAAATCCTAGAGTCCTTAAGAATTATGCTAAACAGAATCTGCCTGTGCTCTATAAATGGAACAACAAAGCCTGGATGACAGCATGTCAGCTTACAGCATGATTTATTGAATGCTTTTAAGTCCACAGTTGAGATCTACTGCTCAGAAAAAAAAAGATTTCTTTCATTTACAGTGCACCTAGGCTGGGGGCAGTGGCTCACGCCTGTAATCCCAGCGCTTTGAAAGGCCAAGGTGGGCAGATCACCTGAGGCCAGGAGTTCGAGACCAGCCTGAACAACATAAAGAAACCCTGTCTCTACTAAAAATACAAAAAAATTAGCCAGGTGTGGTGGCGCATGCCTGTAATCACAGCTACTCGGGAGGCTGAGGCAGGAGAATTGCTTGAACCCAGGAGGCGGAGGTTGCAGTGAGCTGAGATCGCACCACTGCACTCCAGCCTGGGCAACAAGAGTGAAACTCCGTCTCAAAACAAAAAATTATATATACATACATACACACACACACACACACACACACGAATACAATGCACCTAGTCACCCCAGAGCTCTGATGAAGATGTACAAAGACATAAATGTTTTCATGCCTGCTAACACAACATTCATTCTGCAGCCCATGGCTTAAACACTAATTTTGACTTTCAAGTCATAATTTTGTAATGCACTTTGTAAGGCCAAAGCTGCCATAGACAGTGATTCCTCTGATAGAGCTGAGCTAAGTTAAGTTGGAAACCTGAAAAGGATTCACCACTCTAGCACAGTAAGAACAATTTTAATTCATGGGAGAAGGTCAAAATATCAACATTAGTAAGAGTCTGGAAGAAATTGATTCCAGCTCTCGTAGATAACTTTGAGAGGATCGAGACTGAAGTGAAGGAAGTGACTCCAGATGTGGTAGAAACAGCAAGGAACTAGAATTAGAAGTGGAGCCTGAAGATGTGGCTGAATTGCTGCAATCTCATGATCAAACTTGAACAACGAGGCATTGTTTCTTACAGACGAGCAATGAAAATGCTTTCCTGAGATGGACTCTACTAGTGAAGATGCTGTGAACATTGTTAAAATGACAACAAAGGATTCAGAATATTATATAAACTTAGTTGATAAAGCAGCAGCAGGGTTTGAGAAACTGACTCAAATTCTGAGAGTGGTTCTACTGTTGGTAAAATGTTACTAAACAGTATTATGTGCTACAGAGAAATCTTTCAAGAAAGGAAGGATCTGTCAATGTGGCAAATGTCACTGTTGTCTTATTTTAGGAAATTGCCACAGTCATTCTTACCTTCAGCAACCACCACCCTAATCAGTCAGTAGCCATCGACATCGAGGCAAGAACTTTCACCAGCAAGAAGATTACAACTGTCTGTAGGCTCAGATCATCCTTAGTATTTTTTAGCAATCAGGTATTTTTACACTGTACCTTTTTTTTTTTTTTTTACATAATGCTATTGCATACTTAGCAGACCACAGCACAGTGTAAACATAACTTTTATAGGTGCTGGAAAACCAAAAAATTCATGTGACTTGCTGTATTACAATATTCACTTTATTGTAGTGGTCTGGAACTATAGCTGCGATATCCCTGAGGTATGTCTTTAGACAGAACAAACTACAAAAAGACAACTACAAACAAGTGTAGACCACTTAGGTGCTGCTCAAACTTGATGGGATTTATCTGATTTTAAGATGTAATGTACAGAAATAATTATTTATACTTTTTCTTTTATTTATTAATAATATTTTGAATTTCTAAAAAATATATGTAATTAACGATGCTGAGGATTTACAAGTCAGTTTATTTAAGGTGTAGGCTATGAGTTTTTTAAAAGTCTTGTCAAGTAGATAGTTTCTTAGTATAAACTACCAAAAATTATTCATAAAGGGATTCCTTTAGATGAGGCCTTTTCTGCTTAGAGAATATGTACGGGGATAGGTTCAGTAGCCAAGTGTAATATATATATCAACAAAATAATCCTATCTGATTCTAAAAGATGAAACCTCATAATATGATGTTCAGAGACATTTTTGTACAGATTTAAGATAAAAGAAAAAATTCAAAATGTCCAATTGAATGAAACGAAAGGCAACAAATTTTAGTTTATCAGGTAAGTTTTGGAAGTAAGCATTAAATATCATACCTTGATTTTAAAGTGTTACATATTGGCTAGTCTCCATTTTATTACTATTAATAATAGTCTATTATTTATGGATTTTGAAATAAAAACTGCATATAATTTAGCATAATATATCTTTCTAATTCATGGAAGTCCTCTCTATGGTTAGGTTTTTAAAAAAATCCAAACCCCCAGGCAACTTGGGCAATGCCTTTTGGACAGGGTGCATCTTTCCTAGCGAATGCCTTTCCTTTGGGCCATCATTTTTTTTTTTGTCTAATTTGTTTGTTACACTTCCCCTGTACATCTAGAAGATGACTAATTTTAAAGAAAATATGAAGTATCTATTTTTGATCATCATTACCTACGTATGATTTGATAATCTTGGTAAAAAAAACCTTGGTAGTTTTTAAAGCTTTTTTTTTTTTTTTTAAGTTTTTTTAAAGAAATCTTGGTAGTTTAAGACTTCCAAATCAGAGTCCTTATAAGTATAAAATACTGGGAAAAAAGGCAAGATCAACCAGAAGTCCTGAAAGGGCAGAACAAATAAATATGTAATCCAATATTTTTGCTAAATAAAACTGTATATAAACGTTAACTCCTCATTCTATCCAGTAATCCTCCAACTAGCCTATCTATAAAACTAGAGTCCTTGTCTAATTATCTTTTTTTTTTTTTTAAACTAGCTCTTCGATACGGTTGTCTCAGTTGACCTCCAGTTCTAATCCAGGTCATGTCATCGACCGCAATGATATTGACTGTCTCGTGTCTGGCAACAGTCACAACCCAGACAATGTGGGGAAAGCTATTTTCTTCCCTCTAGCATTAGTGGCAGTTCCATGTCACATGTAAAAGAAATGAACGTGGATTCCAGGGATTTTAATCAGTGATTTAAAAAATACTATAATTACAAAAGAGATGATTTATCTAGCTTGCCAGATCATTCTAGTAAGATCAAAGAAACAACTGAGCTATTGGCTTCCATACTGGTTGGTTCAGGAATGAAAGTGATAAAAATTCGTAACTCTCGTTCTAGACGTCATATGACATACACACACAGACAATGCATATGGAATACTTATATGTATCCACATCTTTATTTGGACCACACTATCCTTCTGATCTTACGAAGGGCCTAAATGCCTGTCTTTAAAGTCACTCCTTGAAGGCACATCTCCTAAAAAGACCAGTTAAAGTATAAATGTTGCTGGAGTGCTTTAGGAAATTACTCCATAAACTATCTACTGAACATATGAGTACAGATTGGTTTCCAAATTAGTTAGCTGTCACTTCAAGAATGGAAAAAAGAGTCTGAAAGAATAAGGCATAAACTGAGAGGAGAGAGAGAAAGCACACAGGTGTCCTTAAGGTAGGTTGAGGGAAGGTGCCTAGAGACAGGTAGCCACAGAGGAACCAGGCCAATAATAGCAGCAGCATGTAGGGCACGAACCAAAGACAGACTTCACAATCCCCCAGGAGCAGCTGCAGTCTTGCCTTTGTTTGCAATAAACCAATCCATGATAGAATAGGGCGAACACCTGTATACCATCTGGGTCACTGTGGCTGCCTGCAGCAAAGGCAGAACATTGCTATTCTCATCTGACTTTTGCTACAGCATAGAAGGCGGAGAATATGTACTATAAAAGTGGATGGCCATAAAGGAGAAAATGCCAGCTAAAGAAAAGTGAGTCTGTGCTCTCTAATACAAGGCATTCAATCAGGGGTGTTTGGGAAAACAAACAGAGAAGCACACTGTCTGTAGCATAGCACCCAGAAGCTGACGTGCAACCTCAAGGTGCTATCACAGATACATCACTATTACTGGTTACACTCATTTTGACTAAAAGACTAACTGCAAACTTTAGAAATAATGACTCTGAGTTTCTAGAGTATAACTTTTGAGAGTAAATAAAAACATCAGGTGAAAGTAACTATTAGGAAATAAGTCCACAGGTTGGCCAAAGAGGAAAGGACACATTTCAAGACAGGTAGTATTAAGTTTCCTATAATAATGACCACAGTAGCTATTATGTTTATGGTAGTACCAGGTACTAACCAAGTACCAAGGGCCTCACATGCATAAATTGTCCTCAAACAACCCTAAGAGGTAGGTTCTATTAACATCACCAAGCCCGTTTGTTAAATGAGGAAGTAGACTCAGAGAGATGAAGTTAACTGAGGTCACCCGCAGAGCAAGTGGCAGAGTTAGGGTTCAACCAAGCCGGTTGGCACTGGAGTCCTTAGTCCTAACCCAGGAGCTATGCTATGGTGACTCTGCAGACATTCTGGTATTATGGGCCCTATTAGAAAACAGTGAGAGGAAGTTAATCTAGAAAGAAAATGAAAAGATTATCCAAAGCATTTATAAAGATAACCAGAAACAAAATGGATAAGTAATTAAACAATCCTCTTCACCAGCCAAAACATTTTTTTTTTTTGTTTTCATCACGGGTTGAACATAAAGGATTAAGAATAAAGAAGCTATGAAATTGTTTCACTGAAAGTAATAAAGGCACTATCGAACATAAATGACTATTTCCTATATTTACCAATAATCCCAGACTGTAGTTTCTGATGACAAAATGCCACCAGTAGTGTCATTATAGTTATAGTGGAAGTCCATATTCATAATTTGATGTCCTAGAATGACTTTTCTGTTTCATGAAAACTCAAGATATAAATGACAAGTAAATTTAATTGTGGGAATAACCAATGCTCCATGTCACATAGCGATGATGAGGTAACTATGAATTTCTATCTTCCCAGTTAATCGTTTTCATGTAAGCTCTTCCCTCTCCTTATACCTTCTCCCCAAAATTCAATCAACTCTCTCTCTCCATGGGATGTTAAGATCTGCACCTAATGCCTCATTCAGGAAGGAAGCTGGCCCGTTGGGGCACCAAACGGCTATCAGAATGTATCGATTTTATAAGCACCACGAATGAGGTTAGCGCAGTAAGGCCGAGTGGCAGTGAGGGGCAACAGAATACAGTTCTGATGAGCCATACCTAGCTCCTTCTGTATGTTGTCAGGGACTCCTGTAATAGTCTTTCTCCTTTTGACTTTCTTCGGTCGTCTTACCAGAGAGTCTGTGTAAATTAGAGACCGCCGAAGGCTGGCCTGGCGATCGAAATTCTCCCCTAATGTAGAGTAGTAGAACAAGCAAAGCAATGTTATTTTCAAGCAAGCTGACACCATGCACTTTATTCCAGAAGCTTGTTGTAAAATGATAAGAAGGTATTAATAATGTTAGCCAGTCATATGATGATGAATGCTGAAGGGCAAAAAAGGAAGGAAAGCACATTATCACAGTAAGGCTGTTTTCCAAGTTCTACCTTCCAAAGGAAGCACCTTGATCTCATTTTCAAATGAGCTGGAGTAGCAAATGCAAATTTAATAACACACTGGAAGAGTTATTCTGTGTTATTTAACAAAACAAAATTTTGGAAGTATTTCATATATATGCTCTGGTCACCAAAACTACTCTACATTAGCGTGTAGGTGGCGACGGAATGAGTATATTTCATTCATATGGTCATCTTGCAGAGATCAACACTAATGTCTTGCTTTATGTGATGAAGTAAGTAACTTAATAAAGATTTCTTGAATGAAAAGCTTTTTCTTCAATCAAGGAGGCTGACAATTTGGATAGACTGTGGTAATTGCTGTGGTGTGACATACAACTGTAGTGAAAAATGAAACGCCTTATCATGATAAAGTACTTTTACCACAATGAGACCCAGTAGCACTGCTGTTGTTAAAGGTGAACTGCTTCTATTTCATAATTACTTTTCAAAGTTGATCTTAATGCAGACATTTCAGGTGATTTTGCAATCAAACCTGGAATGCCACATCATGGGACTTCTTTTTTTCCTTCTAGAGTATCGGTGTGTTTGAGTAACACATCATGAGAAACCATACAATAATAAAGTATATAACAGCATCTGTTATTCATTGGTCTATTTTAAATTACCTGGCAGTGTAAAGTCTTACAGCACTGACCTTTTTGAATGGTTATTCTCCTCAAAAAGTTATTTTTAAATATACATATATATACACATACACATTACAAACTTCCATCATTTTATGCATAAAAGTATAAAAACGTTCACTCTTAGCATTACTGACACACATTCAATGTAGGTATGTTGTGGACAATGTAACTTCTATTTTAGTAAGAAAAAATTGGGAACCTTATCTAATGAAAAGAGAGAATAAAACATCTGAATGATCAAAACACATTTCCCCTGCTGAGGAACAAACTTATGTAAATGCTTGCAAACTTACAAACGCTTACAACCTTGTCACTAATGGAGAAAAACAGAAATGACTGAGAGAAAACCCTTAAATACCAGAAGGTGCCAATGCTGCGAAAAACTGGGTCACTAAGTGCAATGGCATAAATGGTGCATGTGAGAGGCAAGTCACAATGCAGTGCTTCATTAATTCCCTGCAGCAGAAAAAACTTCCTTGTATCAAAACATTAAGAACCCACAAAACATTAACAGAAAGTTGCACTTAGGCCAGTGTGGTGGCCCATACCTATAATCCCAGCACGTTGGAGGGCTGAGGTGGGTGGATCACTTGAACTCAGGGGTTCAAGACCAGCCTAAGCAACATGGTGAAACCCCGTCTCTACCAAAAAATACAAAACAGGTATCTGGGTGTGGTGGTATGTGCCTGTAGTCCCACTTACTCAGGAGGCTGAGGTGGGAGGATCGCTTGAGCCTGGGAGGCGGAGGTTGCAGTGAGCCGAGATTGCGCCACTGCATGCCAGCATGGGCAACAGAGTGAGACCTCCATCTCCAAAAAAAAAAAAATTAAAAGAAAGTTGCATTTAGTCTCCAGTTTTGCTTCCTAGACAAAAGATAAAATCACCCAAGCTCCAAGAAAATTAAGAAACAAACCATTTGAGGATGAACATCTAAGACACACGTCATTGAAGGCACCAAATGCTTGATCTTGCATCATGACCTAAAAAAAGTCTGCATCTTCTGCTGGATTATACATTTTTTGAGGGTACAGACTGTGATGCATGTACTTTAGCATCCCCCATGGCACTCAGCTAATGCCTGGCACAAAGCAGTTATTCAATAAATATCTGTTGAATTTAATCACTGCCTTTAATTGAAAAATGGCATTCATCAGTCATGGTTACTATTTAGAAATATACTTGAAAGTCTCTGGGCATACTCTGGCTCTGGAGGCTGCCCGATTAACAAATTGTTCATTGCTCAATTAAACTATGTTAAATTTAAAACCAAAAAAAAAAAAAAGAAATAAACTTGGATAGCTCAAACACCAGTATAAAGCCAGTTTGTAAAAATTCTTTAAGTATGTTTATCCAATACACTTATCTTCCAGGTGGGAGAGTTGTTATCCCACATAGCAGATTATAGAACATATTTATATGTACATATTAATTTAAATATTTTTTCCTCTTCAAGTTTTAGAACATGCTGAGTGCCCACAAGACTATAACTGAAGGGATTAAATCAGTTTTCAAGCCAGCAGCTCATGGTGCTAACATTCTACCTCTATGCATGGTGGGCTGAACTCTGGATTTGAAATGATGTATTTATTGCCACTTTTTTTTTTTCCTGCTGAGCCTTACTAGGAAAATCAAACTAGAGGCTCAATGCTCACCCCAACGAATGAGCACATGACAGTTCCCTAGAGGAATTTTTTTTTTAATCTCAAATATCTTCTAGGACTTTAGAAATATATAATTTAAAGAGCAGGAAGCTGTATAACCTATGTCAATTCAACCACTAAAAGTGAAAATTTTAAATGTATTATTTCTTTATAACAGATTAGAAAAATAATTCTTTAAGAAATATGTGTGTATATATGTGAACACACAGATGTAGAAATGGATCAATATGTGATTAGGTATTATATTTACTGTTAGCATTCCTGCAAAATGTTAATCATTTGATTAAAAGTAAATTACATTTTGACATAACTCATATTGCTCTTTGTTTATTGTCATTCACCTTTCCTGTGTAGCATTTTAAAGGCCTCTCTTTAAACTCTAATTCATCTCTACTTAGTCATCAGATAGGACAGAATTAAAGCTCAGAGACATGACACTGTCTTCTGTTGTGACAACGTAATTCATTGGAAGTAATTCTTCATTCTTGAAACTCTACTCTATTTTAAATCTCTTAATCTCAAGATAATGCATTTCACCTTAATTCCATTAAGGATTGTCATATTTCATTGCACAATCTTCTTATCTTATAATATTATTTCATAGGCACTTAATTATATATAATGTAATTACATTTCTGCTGCATTTAATCAATCAAATAGTGTAATTCATTTTCTTATAGAAAAAACCAGCCATGTATTTCATTGACCAGTAAACATTATACTTTGTTCTAAAACATAGTTATACTTTTAAAAATAATCTTTAAAAAATATTATCTAGGTAAATAAGAAGCATATTCAGAAAGATCAATAACATTGTTTGCTGAGAAAATGGCTTAAAATGTCCTGCTATTCTTTTAAGATTTAAGTAAAATAAATGTGGAAAAATACATACTGAACTGAAAATAATTCATGTACTTATTTATTAAATTTCTATGGAATTTAAAATATGAGTTTTAAATGTAATTTCTAAATATCCGGGAAGGTTTTAAAAAAAATCTGCAGTGACTATGAAGATGCTATTAGCCCCTTACAAGCTCACCAATGCCATGGCAAAAAGCTTTCTAAAGCTTTCTAACAGCAGTAGCCTCAGAAGCACAGCAAGGATGCTATGGGTTTCCAGAGTAAATGTTCAGGAAAACTCATTCTTTTTGATCATCTAGTTTTTTTTGTCAGCTTCTGGCCTTAAGGGCCCTGCTTATCAATGACTACTATTAGGCATCTATTTCCATTGAACATACAATTCAATTAATAGTTGAAGCTATTAACTCTTCACATGTCTATTTCCACTTTGTGCCCTCCCCAAACCATTAACCCATGCTCCTTGTGGTCTATAGAGGTGATAAAGCAGGAAAATTTTGATTCTTTTTTTTTTTGAGGTGAAGTTTTGTTCCTTTTTGCCCAGGTTGGAGTGCAATGGTGCAATCTCTTGGCTTACTGAAACCTCTGCCTCCTGGGTTCAAGCAATTCTCCTGCCTCAGACTCCAGAGTAGCTGGGATTACAGGCATGTGCCACCATGCCCCGCTAATTTTGTATTTTTAGTAGAGACAGGGTTTCACCATGTTGGCCAGGCTGGTCTCGAACTCCTGAACTCAGGTGATCCGCCCACCTCAGCCTCCCAAAGTGCTGGGATTACAGGTGTGAGCCACTGTGCCCAGCCAATTCTGCTATCTTTTTAGCAGCTCTCCTAAGTTCATGAAAGATCATCTTTGAATTGTATGTACCTTGTTGTCACCTTAATTGTCACAAATGATTACAGGCTGAGTATAATATTCCATAAGAACTTGAATTTCAGGTTTGGCAATTAATATTTGTAGTCTAGCTTAATATAACATATTCTGAAAATTTTATATTCAGAAGAAATTTTGAATAAGTAATGTCTCCTTTTTTCTACTTTAGGAAATTTCTAGAAAATCTATCATTAGAAACATCACAAAATAATTATTTCTTTACTTCTGTAAATATTACTTAACCCTTTAGAAGGGAAATACATACTTTTTCTTCATACCTAGGACCACATTTACAAGATGTTTCTATATAACCAAAGGTTTACTAAAAAGCAATTTAATTAAAAGAGACACTCTTAAGATGAATGGTTGGACCACTGAGTTCTTTGACACCAGTGTTTGGCGACATAGTCTTCTGACCCAACAAGCAGTAGATATTTCATATGCACACATATATGTAGTTTCAATATTCCTTTCATTAAACAAAGAGCATGAAGTTGGACCACAGCTATTCACCTTTGATACAACAATGAAATGCTAACAGCGTATATCAAAAAGCTGTAGTCATTCTCCCAAGTACATTCTGAACCTGTCTGGCTAGCAAAGCGTACCAGTTATGTTAATAGGCACCACATCAGCCTGGACTGTTTGGGCTTGCTGTCGCATCTTCTCTTCTGGTGTTGGCAGCGGAAGCGACTTGGTCCAGTTCGTCTGAGTATTAAGGTCGGAGAAGTCACTTGAGGTTGGTGTTTTAGGTCTCCTGATGGAAATAAATCTTTCTTCTTCTGATGAAGAGAGAGAACACTGCAGAGAAAAAAGAAGCAGCAGCCACAGTGTATAAAGAGCTGGCAGAAACATTTTAAAATATATTTCTTATTTTTAAAAAATTAGATTGGTTTAAAAGAAGCCAAAATAATTGGTCGCTTTTAGGAACAGAGGCAATGGTTTGCTCAGCCTCTTGAGTCTGACCTGTAATATTCATGATTCACACCGGCCTTAGTCTGTAAACTGTGAGGACTGCAAAAGGTTCTGCTGACCCACAAAATCTTTGAAGTCCTTTCTGCTTTCCCTCTATCTACTGTGGTCAGAAAGTTCATGGAATGGCTGGCACGGTGGCTCATGCCTGTAATCCCAGCACTTTGGGAGGCAGAGGTGGGTGGATCACTTGAGGTCAGGCGTTCAAGACCAGCTGGCCAACATGGTGAAACCCCGTCCCTACTAAAAATAAAAAAATTAGTCAGGGGTGGTGGTGAGCACCTGTAATCCCAGCTACTTGGGAGGTTGAGGCAGGAGGATCGCTTGAACCCAAGAGGCAGAGGTTGCAGTGAGCCAAGATCGTGCCACTGCACTCCAGCCTGGGCAACAGAGTGAGACTCTGTCTCAAAAAAAATTTTTAAAAAGAAAGAAGGAAAGAAAGCTCATGGGTTTAGTTTAACATTAGAAGCCTGGAGAAAAACAACATGGCTGTGGCCATCAGTTTCCATTTTTATTAAAATTTAGTTTTGCTCAAAGTAATTTCTAGCCTCAATCTTATTTCCTTCAGGCTCTGACTTCAAGGACATTTCAAAAATGATATAGCTATTGTTGTTCAACTACTTGTGCTCTTGTGAAGCCATTTATATGGGAGAAAATCAGTGTGAAACTGTTAAATTATAAGGAGTTGACTAAAGCTCTGCTCTGAGCCATATCAAAATTCTATGAAAACATTTCTAGCATTGTCTGTTTTGATACAGATTAACATTCTCACTGAAGAGCCCTTCTTCAATACCTTTCTTTCCCATAACACCTTAAAAACTGTAATCAAGAAAGTTGTGTTGGCAAGCATTTTATGATGGACTTCAACCTGGCTCCATGGCAGCTGGTTCTGTGACTAAGATGCTCCGAGAAGGCCGAATGAGTGCAGGGTGCTTAGGAACACAACAAAAAAGGGTAATCGACTTTTGTGGGGGAAATAACAGCTTATAATAAAAAATAAATGTGTAAGAACTGCTCTTTAAGTCTGAAGCATTTAAACGGAATTACCACTTATGAAAGTAAAGCTTTTAGAAAGAATTTTACTGGAAAATAAAAAGTCAGTGAACCTTCCCAAAGGGAATACCTGTACAACCAGCACCCAGTTCAATACACCTCCTACCCCAACCACATATCCCCAAACGAGGGTAACTGCTATCCCAGCTTCTAATACCACAGCTTGGTTTTGCCTACATTTGAACTTCCTGTAAAGGGAATCACACTGTCTGTTCTCTTTTGTGACCTATTTATTTCATTTAACATTATGTTTCATCTAACTTTACAAGGCATGTTTTAATCTTTCTGGATTTAATGCAAGTCTCTAAGAGGACACAGATGAGAAATATAAAGAAATGCATTGGTTAGAAATTTCAGGCCCGGCACGGTGGCTCACGCCTGTAATCCCAGCACCCTGGGAGGCCGAGGCGGGCGGATCACCTGAGGTCGGGAGTTCGAGACCAGCCTGACCAACATGGAGAAAACCTGTCTCTACTAAAAATACAAAATTAGCTGGACATGCTGACGCATACCTGTAATCCCAGCTACTGGGGAGGCTGAGGCAGGAGAACTGCTTGAACCCAGGAGGCAGAGGTTGCAGTGAGCCGAGATTGCACCACTGCACCCCAGCCTGGGAAACAAGAGCAAAATTCTGTCTCAAAAAAAAAAAAAATTCAAACACAAGAACACTGTCATCACTGTTTATTGCAACTGCATTCATCTTGCTGCAAAAATCTGTATTTATTCTACAACCACTGGAGCTCTATAAATCTGAAAAAGACTGTGTAAGAGCTAATGAAAATAGTTTGCTATGGGCGATAGGGCCCTAGACTAAGAATCCAAAGACCTGAGTCTCTTCCTAAACTTTGATGTTTCCTTTGCTGTAAAATGGGGCTACCCAGCCTACCTTTGTGCATCCACAGAGGTGCTCTTAAGACCTAATAAGATGATAAATGTGAAAGTGTCTATGACTGTTAAATATCGTGGATATGGGCCAGGCACAGTGGCTCATGCCTGGAACCCCAGTACTTTGGGAGGCTGAGACGGGCAGATCACAAAGTCAGGAGATCGAGACCATCCTGGCCAAAATGATGAAACCCCGTCTCTACTAAAATTAAAAAACAAAAAAAATTAGCTGGGCGTGATGGTGTGCACCTGTAGTCTCAGCTACTCGGGAGGTTGAGGCAGGAGAGTCGAGATTGTGCCACTGCACTCCAGCCTGGCAACAGAGCGAGACTCTGTCCCAAAAAAAAAAAAAAAAAAAAAAAAATCATGGATATGAAGGTGGTGCTGACATAAATATTACTTTAGAAAAGCAAAGTCATGAACTGACATGTGCTCACTTTTTTTTTTCTTTTGCCAAGAAGACTAATAATAATAAAGGTATGTGGAAAAGATAAATCATATAATTAGATATCTCAATACATTTACTTGATGTTCTTAATACATAAAACACATAAAATGATCATCCAGTTTCTTTTCCACCTAAGGAAAATGTGAAATAATGTTTGTAATTAAATTGACAAATATACTCAATTTATAAACTGAGCATGTTGTTGGTGTCTTATAATACTAAATTGCACTATAACCATTAATACTTGATCTGATTCTGGTTAAAGGGGTCAAAACTCACACAGATCCTTAAAGACAATCAAAGGGGTTTTGAGTCAGCAGCAGCTAAGCCATACTGATGTAAATCAATTATTTCCAGCCTTTTTGCAGTTGTGACACTTGTTAAGTTTGATTTGTAACACATATTCTCTACCCTTAAGATGCACACACACACACACACACACACTTAAAATTAATATCACTGAAGAATTTCATGGCAGTTTGTATAAAGGCCACATGTCTGAGTTTGAATCTCAAGCTAGTAAATTAGAGGATTACTCCAATTTCCTGTTACATACACATAAATATAATTTTTCAGGCAACCTTGAATTATAGTATAAAGCTTGAAGGCAATAAGAAGCAAATCCTAACCAGAAAGGTTTAAAGGAAAGAAAAATAAAGCTTTCAGGCTACAGCTCTCTATGCCCTGTAGCAAGGGCTCCCTTTTCCACATGACGTCTAATGTGGGAGCAGGAAGAAGCACTGTCTACCATTTGTAAGCATCTCAATGGTGCTCATCAGCCCCACTAACCTACTTTTCTTCTAGTTGACTGATAGTGTCAGAATCGATAACTCTCATAATGAAACAGCACTTCCCCGTAGGGACAATCACCAGGGATCACTCCAGCATGACAACTGACAAAGAAAGTCCATTTTGTAAAGTGCTCCTTTCTCTTACAAGAAAATTTCCCAGCCAAGCAGGGCACAGATAGAGTTATACACAAATGTGACTGTTAGGTCTCACACTCTACTAAAGGACAGTAAAACACCAGGATGGATGACTTCCAGGATGATATGACTCTCATGCCTCCCAGTGTATATAAACACAGCAGGGGCACAGAAACACCCCCCTCATTTCAATAGCAGAACACAACATGATTAGCCTATTAAGATGGACATAGTAATACCGGATTATTACACGGGCCTCTTAACTATCTCCATTTTTCTGCCCTTGTTGACCATCCTCCCCTGCTCCTCCCCTTCTAATTGTCTACTCTCAACACGGCAGGCAAAGGGATCGTTTTAGAAATATAAGTCAGATCATGTTGCTCTTCTGTTCAAACCCTCCAAAGTCCTTACTATGACCTCCAAGACCCTACATGATCTACCAGCCGGCCACTGTTATCTCCCTGACTGCATTTCCTACTGTTCTCTCCCATATTAATTCTACTCCAGCCACGCCATCCTCCATGCTGTACCTTGTACCTTCCATGCACACTCCTGCCTCAGGGCCTTTGCACTTGCTGTTCCATGGCCTGAAATGCTCCTCCTGTAGACATCCACACAGGTAGCCCCTTCTTTTTCTTTAGGTCCCCTTAAGAGTCCTCTTTTATTGAGGTCTTACCTGTTCATCCTATTCAATTTCAACCTCTTTCTAATATTTTGTATCCCCTTTCCCTTCTCTCTTTTTTCTCTTTAGTACACACAACTAGTACACATATATTTTATTTATGTATCTTGACTCTCCGACAAGAATATAAGTTCCATGAAGCTTTGAATCAGAATTGCATAGAAGGTTATTTCAGAATTTGAGCTTCAGAAGGCCCACCATTTAGTAACTGATGGCTATATGCCTTGCCCTTGGTGGGGGCTTTATAGAATGTATCTCATTTAATCTTCACGGTGTTTGCCTTAATAATAAGGAAGTGGAGACTCAAAGGAGTAAAGTAACTTGACTTTTGGAAAGTTCACAAGTGGGCAGTTGAGATTAGAAACCAGAACTGACCCCAAAGTCTCTCCTGTGAAACAGTGTAAAATAACAATGTGGCAATATTTACAATAAATTACTAGGTCTTCCGGTCTCAAAACAAAATCTCCCTTTATAGCTGTAAATAAGAACAAAACCTTTTGAAACTCTATACAAGTAAAGAAAAAAAAACAAAACTGTGTGTACCAGCACATCCTGGCACTGTCATTTACTAGCTGTATATTTTGATCAACTCAATCTCCCCATACAGAGAACAGAATGACCCAAGTAGCATTCAAATGCTTCATGTTAATGAAATCCCTCAATATAGGGTGACTTTTTAAAAAATTGAGTTTTAAATTGCCTTGCTCTCAGAACTTAAATGTAGTTTTGGGATCTGCCAGTTGGTCAATAATGTTCACCAATACCCCATATCCTAGTCCTGGACGGAATGGAGAGTCACAAATGAAACATAAGCCAGATTCCTTGTGTCAAATTG